TCATTCTACAAATTCGTACACGGAATCGATTTAGGTGAAAATTTAAGAGGTGACAATACGTACATTCCTCAAAAATATGTAAACCAAAACCTTTGTCTTACCTAAAACCATTTTATTATGGCTTTTACAGTTTTTTCTCTAAAATACATGCATTCGATTTAGGTAGGTAATTTTTTTGTTAATAATTTATAGTCTATTTATAGGCCTATTAATCTCTTCCAAGTGCCAATCCGTATTTGTCTGAACTAAAAAAAGAAGTAAAGGCTTAACATGAAATTTTAAAATTCTATTTCAAACGCATCATACTTACTTTATTTATAGTTTAAAATGATTATTTTTTACTTATGATCTCCCCCCTGAATTTTTCTCTGTATACGTGCTTTTTATGAACTACTAATTTTTTTTATTCTGCTTGTTTAACAACTTTTTTACCATAAAAGAAGATCTTTATTGATCATGCCGTTTCTAGTAGCAATTAATAATTCGCCTGTAAATAAAAAATAAAAAAATGTATTAAATCAACGTGTCCCGATGTCGTATATCTTCTATATTTAAATACCGAATACCTTATACCTATCAATTATATAATTGTGAACACTACTGTAGCCGAAAAAAATTCCGAGGGTAGGGGAAACATTAATAGTTTTTATTATTTTCAGAATAATAAAATATATCACTTAAACAACCGAAATAACCAACATGTATATTTTATACATTATATATACATATTAGTATATTACATATTACACAATATACAATATATATATATGTATATTTTTTTTAAAATTTTTTCATGGTTTAGTTTAAACAACGTCGTGATTAGGATGCGGTGATTAGCACACGGTTTCGTAAATCAGTACAATTCTCCCCCTCTCCCCGAAGGCGAAACATCTGATTATACTAATAGAGAGCCCCTTTTGGAATTCGAGTAATTTGGGAAATATCGTAAAAACGAGTACAGTAGCGTATAGCTACACATTAAAACGCCCCGTGGTAAAACATTTTTTTCGCCCCCTATATAAGAAAATATAAATTATACTCATTATCGCCAAAACAGTGCTGTGACTGTAATTATGCTTCGTTATTGGAAAAAATAAACTCAACCACATCTTATCATACTAAACATTTCAAATTAAACAAATGCACATTTACACCATACACATTGGTATAGATTTGCATTTTCTATTCATATCTAACACACTTTTATAAAAATATTAAATCATTTGTTGGTTATTGATCAAAAATACTAATATACTAGGTAAGTCTATTTTACCAATGGTATGGTTATAATATTATTGGTTTCACCAATTTCTCACTGCTGATGACAATTCGAATTAAATTGGTGTGAACAACTAGCTGTTAGGCCTGTGTCACGTGCATTGATTCAATTTTAATCATTATTAGTCTACCAAATACTTGACAATCACCTCTATCGCATAACATGTAAGCTCCTAAAAAAATTGTGCGCCGTGAGTACACCAGAGGGCTACGTCCATGGTCGGATTTAAGGCACTGCGAACTATGCGACCACATAGGGCGGCAAATTTTGAAGGGTGAAAAATTGTATTGAATATTTATCTTGTTTTAATGTTTTACAATTAAAATGTTGTTATTAATTATACCAGTTAAAAATTTGTATAGGTGTAATTGGATTTTGTATTTGTTTATTTTTAGCAAAATGATATCTATTTATCCCATGAACTCGTCAATGACGACAATGATAATGATTTATTATAGCTTATTTTATTGTGTATCTTATGCCAGCTTCAACGAATCATGGTATGAAATAAAACAAGTTCTTAATACAATTAAATTTGATAAAACCGGAAAATCATAAACAAAATGCGAAGCTCGTAGACTTAAAATACAACTTGAGAAACTGGAAGTGACATTCATGGCTGTAGTGTGAGGTTTTTTACTTCATAGGTTAAATATTGTAAACAAAAAATTACAGAATGTTAACATTGATGTGTGTACAGTCCTCGAGTTATATGATTTATTGATTCATCTAGTAAATTCACAGCGAGAAGCGTTTGATAAATACGTAAAAAAATCATTAAGCAAAGTAAAAAACAAAACGTATCAATCTGATAATTCTATAAAAAGAAAAAAAAATAGTGTACCATGATAAAACGTGAAATGGACTTTAGAAATATCAGCGAAAGATAATTTTAGAATTAATAAATTCTATGTTATACTCGACAGATTGGCTACTGAATTGTGTAATAGACGTAAAGCTTATGGGAAATTCTGTAAACCATTTGATTTTATTACTAAATTACATAAATTTCAAAGATTATGAAATAACGGTTAAAGTAAATGAACCATGTTGTATTTATAAATCGAATTTAGGAAAAAATTAATTTATAAATGGACTTTTACATTTTCGTTCTCATCAAATTACATGTTTCAACGATAAGAAAATTACACCATTCCTACTGCTGCAAGTAATATATGATCGTAATATGAAAGATATTTATCCAAATATTGAAATTGCCCTTCGAATATTCGTCTCAACAGCAGCTAGCGACTAAATTGCCGACCGTTCGTTTTCGATCTAAAAAAAAAAAATGAAGAATTATTTGAGATCAACTTTGCTGCAAGAAAGATTGAATTCCTTGGCCATATTAACAATAGAGAATGACTTAACATCATCATTGGATTATGAAGATATCATTAACGATTTGTCAAGAAAGAAATCTAGAAAAATAAGTATGCAAACAATAACTATGAAAGGTTAGCATTATAATCACTTATATTATCAGTAAACTTATGTTTTTTCTTGTTTATTTTAACTTTATAAAAATAAATACCTAGCAAATATCATTTTGAAATCAAAATTTTTTTTTTTGAACTTTACTTAAATGAAAAAATAATTGCATATTATTGAGAAAATAAATAGATATACCATATTTACATATATATTATTATATATAAGTTATTTTTCTTAAAATAGGAGCGGCAAATTAAATTTAGCATAGGAGCGCCAAATTGTTAAATCCACCCCTAGCTACGTCACTGTGCCAGTAAATGTGAAAATACCTCTTTGATTTGGTATATTGTGATGGCCGGTTGGTTGACGGTTTCGATGAGACAGGATTTTAAAAATATTTTAACAGTGTCGGTGACGTTTGTGTATTTCAAGTGATATATACCGCTGTTACCTCGATTTGTGAACACATAGTTACGACTGGTCGGTCTACACTAGTCACTATAATATTGTGTGTTTGGCTATTACACGTAACACTCGTATATTATTATTATGACATATATAGTCGGTCTGCCTGCACAAACGATCACCAAAATTATTGCGATATTAGTACGAATTTGCCCATCTGGTGTCCAGGTGAAGACTGGCGCATAGATACGTGCCGAGTGTTAATATGGAGCAAATCACATACATACGTACAACGCGAAATTACGAAACCTTAATCTTTTTTGACATGGGAAAAAGTTAAGAAATATTTTTCGTAATTGAGCATGTTGCATTATGATCAAAAGTAAATTTAAAACGTTTAATTAAGTAATCACTCGTTAGGTAAAAAGTTAAAATGAGAGAAAATGTCAACTTCAAAACAATTTCCAAAATGATCAAACAAGAATATTTTGTCTATTTTCGCCTTTTATTTTACATGCATGCAACACATTATACCCGTACGTACCATTATTTCAAATACTAATCAGTATTGCATTGACTTCCATTACTGCTAATCGTGAGTAAAATACATTTTGACCATTTTGCTGCCCTGTTAACATCATTACTGAACTAGAAAGAACCTAGACAGTAATTGATTTTTCTTTGTTAGTACACAGACATTTGTTGTTCCTCAATAAACAAAACTCTTAAAAACAAATTTAACGAAGTATTAAAAATATTATATTTCAGTTTTCATTGTGATAATAAATATATATTATTAAAATCTGTCCTGATTCAACATATCTTGTTTATGAAATTATTTATTGTTTAATGCAATCAAAAAATTCTTTATATCACTCATACCACTATTAAATTAATTTCTAATACTGTTATTATAGCTATTCAATATGCTTTGCTCTCGATTAAATAATTGGACATGAACATAAATTAAATACTTGCATCATTTAGTGGGAATTTAAAAAGACACCAACAGAATACCAATGTTTTTGTTTTATTATTTTTTTAATATGAAAAGTGTATCATAAGGATCTACTAAAATTATCCAAAGAGCGTGAAATATTTTCCTCTTGTAGTCTTCAAATATAATTGGAAGTCAAAAACTATTTGGTGAATATGAGATATGAATCTAACCAAATTAACATCTAGAAACATGCTTCACACACAAGTACTATAGAAATTACCTATACTTAACTACTTAAAAATGGCAAGTATCAAATGCCTTTAACAGGACACTACACTTTTATCTACTGTTTCTATCTTTCGCACAAGACAGCAAATATGCATTAAATAGGACAAATGTGTCAATAGTTTTATTAATAAAGTTAACAGACCTATTACCAAACTTAAATGTAAAATTACCTATGTTTTTTCAATATTTTAACTTTTAAGTGAGATATAATCATTTTTAAATTGTGATATTTAACATACTCATATCTAACATACAAATTAAAATATAAAAAAAAAAAAAAAAATCAATGTTAAGATACAGGACACAGATCTTACCTTTAAGTTTGGTAATAGGTTAATTTGCTTCAATATTAAATCTAAAGGCTCAAAATTTGTCCTACAGAATGAAAATTTGCTGTCATACGTTTGTAAGACAGGGATAGACAAGTGTGGCATCCTCTTAAGATATCTAAACTACCAACAAATAATTTAAAATTATAATTTTTAAGAATTATTTTGTTCAAAAGGAAATACAATTTTAATTTCTCTCTCAAGTAACAGGAAATCTTAAGTCATGGAAATTTTGAACATTTTAATCAACAAAATATTTGTTTATAGAATTAAACACAGAATTGTTGTTTCATCATGCATAAAAAAATTAACATTAAATATTATTATTTATATTTTATTTAAATTTTAACAGAATACATTTAAAAGTAATTAAATCAACATAAATATAACCTAAACTATTATTATTTATCTTTTTTTTCCTTTTTTTTTCAACCACTTTTGTCTTTTTGATTCTAAAAGTTTCTTTCGTTTTGCTTTCTTTTTATCTTTGATTCGTTCAATTTTATTTTTCATTTTAAATACTTTACTGTTTTGGACAGTTTCAGCAGCTTGTTTTTTTATCGCCTTCTTTATTTCTTTTATTGAATTAAAATTCATGCCAGGTACCTCTTCACAATCATTTTCATCATCAATATCTTCTGGATCACTTTCTTTTTCGTCTTCATAAATTACCTACATAAACAAAAAACTTATATGAAATGTGGTAAATTATAAATAAATATTTTCTGAAACCTAGCAGCTGTTTCACGTCAGTTGTTATCATGATTTGTGTAGCGTGCAATTGCAACACAATTGGGAACAAATCTAGTTTAGCGCCATGATTTTTTTTTTCAAAATGTATGGTTTTAAGTGTATATAGCGAATAAACTTCGTTTTGAGGTTATGAGGGAAAACTTCATAAAGTTTGAGTTTTCTGTTTCGCGTTTTTCTTAGTTAGAATTTGACAATTTCAAATTTTTTTTTTTTCAAAATGAGTGTTTTTAATGCTTAATCTAATGGTTTAATCAAAACTTACCTATCATACTTATTTTTATAGTTTTTATGCAAAAACCTTGCAAAATAGCATTTTTGGAATTCATCTAAAATGTGGTCAAAAATTAACATTTTTTTGTTATTATTATTTTAATTATTTTGATTTTAATAACAAAGTTTTTTTATTAGCTCGCTGCGCTCGCATAACATTTCACATTTCAATATTTATAACTCTGAAACTAAGCCAGATGACTTCAATAAAAAAACTTTTTATCAAAATTTCAATAATTAAAAAAAATAATAATGAAAAAATATCAATTTTTGACATTTTGGATGAATTCCAAAAATGTTAATTTTCAAGATTTATGTACAAAAACCATAAAAGTATGATAGGTAAGTTTTGATTAAACCATTAGATTAAGCATTGAAAAACACATATTTTGAAAAAAAAAACAAAAAATTGCTTGGGCGCTAAACTAGATTTATGCCAACAGTAGTTTTAGATTGAGAACTTATGGTGCTACCAGGCGTTATAGCGTAGGGGTCATAAGTCAGTTTTTCTTTTACTAACTATAACAAATATGCTTTGTAATACTCAACAGTTAATAGTTAATTTTATTAATACTAGTTGGTAGTATAGGTGCACATTAGGTGATATATATTTATTTTTTTTTATGATTTTAGAGATGATATTAAATCCTAACTAAACATATTAGACCATAAATTAATATTTGTTTAACTTTGTTCACATTTGTACAATGTATTCTTTTCAAAAATTGTTGATTAACAAATAATTATACATTGTAATACCTGATTTGCTCCAATCCAGTTGTTACATTTTGCAATCTCATCAGTTGACAGATCACAAATTTGCACTGTATGATTTGTTAGACTATACTCTTCAGTAACCATATCAAGGGGTTCTGGGATAAATGGATGAGAATTAGTTAATTTTTTGAAAGCTTCTCTAGCCTATGTAACAAATTAAAAACTTACAAAAAAATATTGTTGGTATTATTTAATAAATATATATATAATTTACCTCAGTTTTGATTCTTTTCTTTTCTTCTTTAAGTTTCTTTTCAAAATCCTCTTTGGCTTTCTTTCTTCGTGCCAGCTTTCTTTTATGAAATCCAGTTAAAAACTCACTAAAAATTATAATATAATTAATTTTTGTTTTACTATGCTTGATCACTAATAATAACAAATTTTAAAAATGAAACCTATGTTTAATGAAAATTAAATATGTATACTATCTAATTATTCAAAATGAAAATATTACAATGCATACAACACAACATTAGACATTATAGAAAAATATATTATACAAAAATAAACAAATTGACTTTATGTTTAATAGTAATCTATGTTGTTTAAATTAAATGAATGGCCCAAAATTTAAATTGAACCATCTGTAAAATATGAGTACCTATATTAATATGTTTATTAATAAATTGTGTTTTAAAATGTATGTTGTTGAAAAAACACAGTTAATAGAAGTACTTAACAATCAATGAAAAAATACACTACCTTCTAGATTTTTCATCAAAAGTTATAATTCGTTTAGTTTTCCTATTAATTGGCTTTCGGTGGCGTTTTACTTTAGTTCTATCTTCAAAATCATCTTCGATGTCCATGATAATATAACTGTTAGGTACCTACTTACTATAAATTTAATAAACAAAATAGCATATTATTACGTGCTATGTTAGACTGCGTAGTCTCCGACACTGGAATTAAATTTAATTAATTGATAATTTGAGAAGGTAACATTTTTCAAAAAATACACACATTTTTACATCACTAAACAATTGATAAAATGATAAGGAGGTATAACCTCAATTTACTCCAACAGTTTAACCAACTGTAGAACACTTTGAACGCTGAGTCGCCGATAACTTAAACCTATCCATTACTTTATTATCTACGAATTCTCATCGTGGTTATAGATAAAGGGTTATCTATAACCATGGTCCACATACTACCACGAATAGGTGCTCGATTTTATATTTTTTTATCCTTGTCCTCTTAAATCCTTCTTATACACTATTCAGCACGTATTAATAAAGTATTAACGACTATCTAGAGATTATTAATAATGATGTATTTTACACATACTGTATATTTGTTTAATACCTTCCAAATTCTTTAAGTATTTCTAGATAATCAAAATCATTCGAATTTGTATTGGTCACCGATTATATTCGCTTTGAATAACCAGATGGTTTAACATAACTTAGACGATGCAAAACAAATTTAGGTTTAATATTTGTAAAGTACGTGGTGACAAAACCATAAGTTGTTAATAGTTCGTGTTGGATATGGATAGTATTTAACAAGATCCAAAACAAAATCAAAATTGAGTACCTATCTACCTACTCACTACTTTGTACAGTGTACTCAAACGGTTTAATATAGCCTATAGCCTATAGGTACCCTAAAAATGTTACTTTCGCTAAAATTATGCTCATTACGTCATGCGGGGCCAGATTTAGGGGGAGGGAGATAGAACGGGTTTCAGCCCAGGAGACCCCACAGTTTTTAATTAATGACAGTGCTCGAATAAATTGGAGGGAAACAATTTTTCAGAAATTTTAGCGTACCTCTACTATTTATTTTAAATGACACGCACGGGACAGTAATTTTAATTGTATTTTTTTGAGAATGCATTTTCATTAAAATTTTAAAAACAAAAATTGTTACATTGCATTCAATTTATTTCATTTCAGTTCGAGCACTGACTAACGATAAATACATAAAGATATATTTAATTTAAATTTACACATACTCAAATTATGTATAATTTCAGGAATTTAATTTTAGTTAAAGTTTAGGCAAATTCTTTAAAACGCAATGATAGGTACCTATCTATATTATTTAGTTGTCGGATCCGATTGTTTTTATAATTTATTATTAAGTAGAATTAAATATGGCAAAAACGTATTGTCCTGACTCCTGTTTAATAATTTGGAACATGGGGCTCCCACAATACAAGTGATTCGGCCGTGACGTCATGTTACCTTTTGAAGAACAATAATTATTCATTTTTTCTCTCCGACTATTTTTGTTTACTGTCAACAACCAGGTAGCTACCTAATTAAGCATTCGTATAAGTTTTTAATTTATAAATTATTCAATTGGCCACTTCAATAATAATAATATTTCATGTCGACTATGCAACGTTTGGAAATAAAATAATGCGTTCGTGTTCACGTTTTGTCAACATCGTTTTACAGCTAACACGAAATCGTGAAACGTCAATGTGAATATACATCATTACATTCACTTTTAAATAAATATTACATTTTTAATATTCTCCATGTGTAATATTTTATAAAACAAATTTTCGGGCGTTGCAGGTACCACAAAATGTTAAAATACCATCGTTTATTTTGTATTCGATATCGTTGAGGTTTACCACAGTTGCAGACGTTATTGTGTTATTGCTTTTCAATACCTGGGTACCTACACACATTATTATTCATGAGTTTTTGAATTCACGAGTGATTTATTCGTTTTTCATTAATATTTCCAGTAAAGGAATGCCAACTTAATACTGTATATATTTAAAGTAGAACAATTAGAAAAAAAAAAAAAATCGGAACATAGGTAGATACTTAATTATACAGTAATCAACCGCAAATATATAGATAGGCAACCGATAAAATTGTTTAACGTGTAAATTGATGTTTATTCAGAATACGATCGTCGTAGGAATTTTTTTTTTTAAATATTCAGTTTCCCACCGTTAAAATACAACTTGGTTCGATTTAGGTATGATAAAATGAAATTCACACCGAAATTACCGTGCAGACCAAATAACCACGTTAGTCTAATGGTGGTAGATACCTACCTACCTATAGCACCGTTACATATTTTACGTCACTTTTATAATATGTAACAATCTCCAACACAGTCATAATATTATTGATAATCAAGCATTCAAACTAAACTGATGAAATAACAAAAGGCAATTGCTGTACGCTTGGATTATCCGGCCACCTACGTGGGTGTGACAGATTTGATTCTTTTTTCTAGGTGGGGGGACTATTGCCTTTAATCCAAAGAGTATACTTTTGACTTATGCGACCACTTAATGAGATAACACAACTGTCTACAGAGGCCGTGATTATAGTTTATTAACACTCTGAACTTCTATACTGAATTCTGAAAGAAACTATTATTTATAGGTAGTTTGATGTTTAGGAGGGCCATGGCCTCTATACTTCCGCCACCCTTCTAAACGTCGCGCCTGACGGGTTTCAGCTTCCCCTGCGAAAATCAATAATATCCGAATCATCTTGAACAAATTCCTAACGGAAGGGTAGGTATGAGAATGGGCGAGTCCATAACTATACACGGGAATACGCCTCCGTACGATTGGATCAATTCGCAAACGTTCGCCGTAAACTGTATGCACATCCAAAGGATTCCGGTATCGCAGGATGGTAGACGAAAAGGAAAACGGACGCCCGCGACCTTTGCTGTAACAAGACGGGTTGTTATCGGACGAAACCGACGACAACCGAGCCAGCGGATGAAAACGTTCTATAATGCATTTGTATTGTGTACGAAAATAATTTTAAAATTTCGCGAAACAGATAGGACATAATTCGAAAAACCGTTTCCAATTCCCCCCTCCCGTTTAGATATTTAATCATAGTCTTAACCGCGGTGCGCATCACTCGTAAAATAATAATTATAATGGACGGCACGTTTACGGTCTCGCCGTTCTCGACTTCTCACGCGATAACGGGTGAGACAGTGAACACGAGTACTAGCCAAGGACTAGATCTTTGGAAATATAGCGGGTAGATGATGGGTAGAGGTCGGTACCTATTGTGGCGGCTAATTAAAAACGCGCTCGAAATAGGTTTTCTTTTGCATTTTCTCGTTCCCGGCGTACGGGTTTACGTAGGACACATACGCTCGCGTTTCGCGGATACCTCTGGCTAACTGTAATTTCTTTAGCGAATTATAAAAAAATGAAAAAAAAAAAAAAACCAAACGTAAATTATTCCCGAAAACCGCGAGTAATTCCATTGTTAATCTTCCCCGAATATCGTATTATAACGTTTACCATTGTTATTATTATTATTATTTGTCAATAATATTACAGATGGTAATAATTATTACGTAGGTACGTAATTTGATAAGTACCCAAATGGCATTTACAGTTCGTCCGTCCGATAATTACGCGTTGCATAACAATAATTATCGTCACTCCGTTCGCACACAACGCACGATTTTAATTAATACACAAGTACTCGACGATCTCTTATCGTTCAACGTAGGAATTTGTAAATATTTACTTTTGGCCGGGTTAGGACGGTTAGGTATATACATGCCTACCGAACCTAACGGACTTACTCATTCAATAATTATCTAATTAAACGATTAAGTATATATATATATATATATATATATTTTGGTTTTGTTCCGAAGCAATTCAAATTTAATTAGCTATACGTGCGCACTGTTTACGAAAATGGAATATAATTGATAACATATATTAATATGAATCATAAACCACACGCGCCGTCATCGTCGGTTGAACGTTGTTTATTTTCGATTTTTAAATTTACATCGAACTTTTATTCCGGGCAGGTACACGTTATCAGCGGTCGGTTCCATCAGTTGTTTTTCTACTTTCAACCGCAAAACACCTGTTAACCGGTTATTTTATTATCTTTGTCTTTTTTTTTTTTTTTCTCTATACGCGAAGCTTTCCTATTGGAATTTCGTGCGTCTGTCTTGTAACAATACATTATTATTTGTTAGTGTTTTTGAATTTTTGCCATGTAAGTATTCAATTAACGTTCTGTTGTAAGAGTCGACCGTAAAAATATTCCTGACCAACGTAGTAATCAAAACGCTTCGATTAATGAATCGGCAAAGAATTTGAGTGTTTGTAATATTTTTTTTTTTTTTTCATTTTTTTTTTTCATTATTGTGTAATTCGACCATTTGTTTTGTAAGTTATTTGAGACATTAACGTGCACAACACATGCGCGCGATGAAATTCATATCGCTTTTCCGCCGGAACCACAACCAGGGTAGCCCTTCTGAAGGGGTGAGACCCTATCAGCAACCCCCAGTGACAATGGAATCAGCTGTTTTCCCGCCAAACAAACAGTCGCAAGAAACGGAAAAACTTCAACAACCAAAACAAAAACAAAAACAACAACAACAACAGCAACAACAAGTACAAAAAGAAGCAATGGACAGCCGTGGCGCTATGGCCATAGGTTTGCCTACGGTCAGCCCAGTTGAGAGATCTGATAATGTTACTGTGTACATTGAAGAATTGGAGAAGTTGCGCATGGAAGTTGAACTGTTGAAAGTAAATAATATGTATTCAATATTATATTATTCACTTGATTTTAAGTGCTTGTATTATTTTGTTCGAGTACTCTATTTAAGATCATATAGGTTAGATAGGTGTGTTTTGATGGTTGAGTTTCAATTCGGATTCAGTAAACATTTTACTAGCCCACAGGTGTACTTGGTATTGTTTTTAATTAAATATACAAAATATGCACTCAAAGGATTTTTATAATACACAAATAATTAGAACACATTCAATAAACTTTTTTCAAATTATTCTGTTTTAGTATAATTTATTTTATATCTTGATAACACCTTAAATTGTATTTATTAAAGCGTTAAAAATGCTTGGTATTCTGTATTTTAAATGTCCATCTATGTATGTTTTAATCTATAGGTAAAAAATAATTTTAGTAATACATTCATTATATTAAATATCTTTATGGCAAATTGTATGTTATATTGTTACGCATGTGCAACATATTGTTGTTGTTTTGATTTAATTTGATTGCCATTTAGAATGTGATGTAAAATGAGCTGAATAACAAAATATATTAAATATGAGGTGTTGTCTTTTACGTGTTAGTGACCTGCTATTGGATGTTCCGTTGAATTCTATATAATAAGTTAGGAATAATTAGGGATACACAAATTAAACAAACATTCAATGATTGAAAAGGTTCATTAATACAAATTTAAATTATTATTAGAATACTTGAGTACAGCCAACTTGTCATAAAATATTCTGAAACTTAATTAATAACCCAACTAGAATTAGGCCTTAATATTATAATTGTAATACTTATAAAATATTTTTCAAAATTAATTTTATTAATTGTATAAAATAAAAAAAAACAAAACATATTCAACAATATTAATATATACAATCGATTATGTGTAATATTTTATTTTTATTATAATGTAATGTGTATATTTTATAGGAACAAAGAAATGAAGCTGAACAGAGCTTAGCAATGCATATAGAAAATGCTCGGAATTGTGTATTGGTGTGTACCCCTAATAATAAAGTGGATGATCGACGGAGATATCCAAGTTCAGCTCCAGCTTCTATAGCTCCTCCAAATTCTGCTAGTCAGGTTAATATACATATAATAACTTTTTGTTAGCAGATTGAGTTTTTAATTTGTATTTAGGAGTTACTGGACACTCATGACTGGGATAAGAATTCTAGTTCTGTTAGTGAGGTTTCTTTAGCTTGTTTACAAGATAGGATTATTCAAATGGAAGAAACTCACTACAGGTTTGCTTATTACACTTATTTTATTATAATATAAAATTTAATGAGGTATATTTTTAGTACTAATGAAGAGTTACAAGCTACACTCCAAGAATTGGCAGACCTACAATCTCAACTCTATGATCTACAACATGATAATGAACGTTTGGGTAAAGAGAAAGGTGTATTATTAGAGTCATTATGTCAACAAACAGAAAAATTGGAAGATGCTCGCACCAAAGTTGATGCCTTACAAGGATTATTTCTTGTGCCTGGTTCTAATCCTCCATCATCTGTTACTGAACGCGAAGAAAAACTAGTTGAACTGCTTAAAAGTGGGCAGGCAGAACGTGAAGCATGGCTAAGTAAACAAGAACAGCTCATTGCAGAAGCAAATGAATCAAGACGATCATTAGAAAATGAAGCCAAAAAGGCAAATCAACTTTTAGAAAGAGTTAGATTTTTGGAATCTACTGTTGATAGCAAAAGTGCTGAAGTTAAACAGTTTGATGAACAGCTCACTTTTGCTAAAGAAGAGATTTCGTCAAAAAATATTGAAATTAATCGTAATCTCATGTTATTAGATAATGCTAGAGCCAAGGTAATTATTTAATAATATAATTTATTACAGTTAATCAAAGTCAACAATAATTTAATTTATTATAGATGCTCAGGTGTCATTTTGGTGTTAGTAACTAAAGTTGAGGTTCTAGTTTGAAAAATATATATATAATTCTTATATTTAATTATTTATGGTTGATTATATCATTCTGATTTTTTTTTTATACATAATACCTAAAGTAAAAAGTAAAATAAAATGATTGTAATGTAAAAGTGTTATTTCTCTGAAATGTTGATTTTTTATCTAATATTTATCGAATAGTTTATTTGATTATTTTGGGTAACTTTTAATGTGATAGTATACTGTGTATTAATCGTTAAATTTAGTTTAATGTAAACTATATTATTGTTTCAGATAGAAGAATTAGAATCGGCTAGAGACAAATTAGGTGACAAGTCCGAGTTAGATGAATTGTTAAACCATGCCAGGCGTGAAAAAGACAACTTAGAAAGTCAATTGGCATCAATGCAAGAGCGTGTACAACGTGCATTATGTGAAATTGATAGACTTAAAGAGCAACTAGCAAATTCGAATGAACAATATACTGTAGCAAGTAACAATGCAAAATCAGCACTTATAGATTTACAATGGCAAAGGGATAAGTGGCACGAAGAAGTTGCTTCATTAACATCTGAATTGAAATCAGCCAAAGAAGCAGAATCTGAATCTCAAAGTTTATGTCAGAAATATGTTGAAGAAAAAAGACAGCTAGCTGATGTATTATCTGAAACTCAGATGTGTTTAGCCAATGTACGAAAAGCCCTCGAAGAAGAAAAATTAGAAATACGTGCTGAAGTAATAATAAAAAAAAGCTTTCTTAAAATCAGTTTTATTATTTAATATAACTAAATTTGTTTTCGATATTGTAGAGGAAAGAATGGCATCAATTTAAAGATGATTTATTAACAACTGTACGAGTTGCCAATGATTATAAAGAAATTGTAGAAAAAGATATGGAACAAATTATTACGGAAAATAAACGGCTCCGTGAAAAAGTAAAAACATTAGAAACTCAACTTGATAAATTAAAAAGTAAGATTAATGTTATATTATCCTTTAGAATCATTTATTAATTTTTATTTTGTTAAATATGTAGATATGGATAAACCTAGAGCTTTATCATGTAGTGCTAATTCCATACTTAATCCAGTTATAATTGGCCATGAGATAAGTCGTCGTAGTAGTCATTCAAAACTTTCTCGTCAAGATAGCCAACTATCTGTTAAAACATTGATTGAAAGTATTGAAAATGCTACCAAACAAGCTAAAACTGGTATTTTTCTTATTTACTATTTGATTTTATGTTTGTTAAAATAAACTAATGTAATGTTTTATTAAAGTATGTTTAAAGTTTCAGTGTTATAAATATATTTTAATTTTAGCTGAATTCACTCGAAGTAATTCAACTTCAAGTTTAAATGGATTAGGAACTCAAAATGAAAATGAACATTTGAATAAAACACAAAGAGATGGTGAATTTAAAGCTCCACTTAGAGAACAAAATGGTCACTTAGCAGATAATAATGCAATTTCCCCTTGTGAAGAAACAGGTGATACAGTTCTATACCTTTGAAAAATAAAAAATAAATTAACTTATGGTTAATGTTTATAGATCCAATAAAAAAATGTCAGAATGAAGACTACCGTTCAAATGGGTCAATACTTTCTTCAACCCGCAATATGGATACATTTGCACGTCTAGGAGGAGCAACTGAAATACGTAATATATTTTCACAATCAGGCATAGCTGCTATAATAGATTTTCTGTTTTATCAATGGTTTAGTTTATAAATGTGTTCTTATTCAGTGTTTTATTGTTTTCAACAAATAGTATGTTAAAATATTTTTAATTTAGTCTTCATTTAAATTGTAATATAGCTGAACGCCGAGATCCTCTCCAAGCATTAGTTAAAAATGGCGGTTCAAAACGCAATGCCTTACTTAAGTGGTGTCAAAATAGAACAATTGGATATCCAAACATAGATATAACAAATTTTAGTAGTTCATGGAACGATGGATTAGCATTATGCGCTTTATTACATACCTATTTACCTGACCAAATTCCATATTCAGAATTAACTCCAACAGAAACACGACGCAATTTTACTGTTGCATTTGAAGCTGCTGAGTCAGTTGGTATACCAACAACTTTAGTGAGTACTATAAATTATTTTTTATTCTAGTATTTTGTAGTAAATGTATTTTTATCTTAATCAAAATATAACTTATAACTGTTGTTTTATTAACTAGTAGTAGAAAACATAACTATGTTTTTCAAAAATATTTTATAATTCTTTATTAATATTGATAACATAATTTTAATAATAGAACATTACTGACATGATATCACAAGAACGTCCAGACTGGAACCTAGTGATGACATATGTAACCGCTATATACAAACAGTTTGAAACATGATGTTATAATGATGTGTAGCATTGCAAGACTGATGATTAAACAAATCTCAATGATTTGGTGTGTTCCTAATGTAAGACAAAATGTAAGACTTCTAGATTTTTATATGTTCATTAGCACAATTTTTTATACTATGTGTATCAACATTTCCACCAAAATTGTATTTTAATGTTAAAATGATTATTAACAAGTGTTATCTAGAAGTTAAGTCTAGTCACTTGAAAATATATTATTTATATTTTTGTAATCTATTAAATTATTTTTTATTTTTAATGATAAAGAAATTGCGTACAGAACAAAATTACAATGTATACATTATTATAATTTACTTATATTAAAAATATTTTTATATATACACACACACATACACACACACACACACATACATATGTACAAGTATTATAGTTATGGTTGTGTGTGTATGAATATGAAATACATATTTTTTAATTAAAATATAACCAATTGTTCATTTTTATGTATGTATATTATATAAGTATATAATATTTTGTTAACATATTTTTGCATAACCAGTAATATTATGCTTGCATATTTTGCTTTTGTTTTATTTTTAAACGCATCAATGTATTGCTTAGTGAGCTAAAAACGTTTTATCTTCCTATAATATTCCAAGGTTAAGTCCTTATTGAACTATTATTATCAAAGGTGAAATGGATTGCAGTTTTTCCTTTTTTATGAAGACTTTTTTTTTTAACATTTTTCAACTTGTTTATAAAAAAATAATTGATTTTTGGAAATGTTATTACACACGATTTAATATAATTATATACTTTCATTGCAGTGAGGCATTGAACTTGGCGATTACAATAGATTGATTAAAAATGTATAGCCAGTAATGAATCACTAGGCAAATAAATAAAATATAAACAAAAATAAATAGTAAATACATTTAGATGTAGGTAAATACGTATACATTTTATAATATAATTGAACGTAAATTAAGACAGTACTAAACAATTTAGTTTTGTTTTTAAAATCATTCAAAGTAAATAAATAAAAAAATGCCAAATTAATAAATCAAAAATGGTTCTATTGTTCAATAAACAAAAAAATAAATTACGAATTTAACAGTGAATTTAATTTCTGAACAGAGAACTATTTTATTGGATATTTAATTGTAATTATATAGATTTATTGGAGGTCAGCTTTATAAATTATTACATGGCCACAATAATAATATGGTCGTTGAGAACTTGCATGATTTATCAATTTATGCAATTTATGCAATTCGCGAATAAAAAAAAAAAAAAAATCTTCGGTCAGTGAAACATCTCGATAATTATTTGTCTATGGTTCATTAGATTTCGTGTTATTTTAACCAGTGTACTCGTTGTTAATAATCGTTAATAATTAACAACAACAAGTACAATAGTTTAAGGTCCAAATAAGTTGTAATGTAATACTACACTATATTGTTATGCCTTATGTTAATGAAAACTAAACATCAACTGAAGCTGAACAACGATAAAATTATGAATATTAAAAAAATTATCGCAGGCGCGATGACCAGAAGAGCTGTTGTACAAGTCGATTACTCGGATCGTACACACGGTGCGGATACGGCTCGGGTATTCACTGCAGCCGCGGTATCGTGTCCCGTTTTTGCCGACGATTCCGTTAGGTTGGTACCGTACTAGAAGTGGCGCTGAAATAATTCCAACGTTTTATCACTTTATCAGTCGCCGTCCAGAAATCCTTGGCCGACGACTATGCGGCAGCGTCAGTCGAGTAGTCGCTAGTCGACGTGTTTCCGCCGTTCACTTCACACCGCGGTCACTGTCCGTTTCCGGACGTTCCGAGTGCGCGAGACCAATAATAATATTATGTTTACAGGGACGACAACCACTGGTTAGGTTCTGTACGCCTCCCGACCAGGTAAAAACTACATTTTTTTTTTTTTTTTTCTATATCGAAGGACCCACCGAGTGCTACAGCCGTAGTGTCGGACAGCGGACTCGATTAAAACCGTTTTTAAAATGCTGATATTTTCACATAATACTTGTTTTCAACACTAACGTATGTTGTCGGTTATTGCAATGGAAACGGGAAAAAAAAATTAATAACAGTCAATAATATGAACACGAAGAGCCCGTGAACGACGTCGAAAATGATTCACTTCACCTGTGGATTGTGCGTCCCAATCGTCACCGCTGTCCTGAGCGCCGTCACGGCAGTGGGTGAGTCAGAAATTTTGTCATACACATAGTGTTCTTAATAATGTTGTTTACATCGTCGACGGTCGAAGATAAATTATCCGCCACTTTCCCCTCCACCCGTTTCTCCATACTATACTACTACTACTACTACTACTACTACTACTACTACTACTACTACCAGGTACTAATAATAATAATAATAATAATAATAATAATAATAATTTACTCCCGGGTCGTGTGTCGCGTTTTTCGTTTCATTCATAAAATTTAACGCGTACGGTTTTCGCAGAATTTCGGGCGAGGCGTGAGCCGTTGTATTATTCAACAGGTTACAATGAACACTGGTCGGGAGGGGGCGGAATGCGGTAATAATATCCCAAGTACCTAACATTAAACACCGATAGATATTGGTAGGCATCGGCCGATATAAGTACAGAGTTCCGCGATTGCACAATGGTTAGCAAACGAATTTCCAACGCGCGTGTTTATTGTTTGACGGCCGTTACATTGTGTAAGTAAATAAATAACGGTTTCCCTGTTGTACGTTTTTAATTTTTTCTTTTTCTTTTTTTTTCACTCTTATTGAATCAATTAACAGTTTCAAGTCCAGCGTCAGTGTTGCTGCACGATAATAGTATAGGTGTAATCACAGACGCGACATGTTCGAGTATGTTAAAGGCGTGATTCGAGTAGAAACGAATAAAAAAAAAAAAAAAAAAATCGAACTATTCTATCTGGAAACTATTTAGTTTTTAAGATTATTTACACGGTTTTTCGGAAATCGCGTAAAGTATTCACTGAAGTAATCGCCTAATATAGAATCCACAGATATAAAAAAAAAAAAAATTCTATAAATAGTACATACCTGTTGCGTGTAAAATCGTAATAATACATTAAAATATTATATTCGGCCAGGTGCGTAATTTTTATGAATTGAAGAATTATACTAAACCATAGGTGTAGGTACTAAGATTATTTTGTTTTAGAATACTTAAAATATTTGTAAAACTGCGAATAGAAAACCGTATAAATTTCATTATTATTATGAATTGACTTTTTTTTTTTTTTGGCCGCTTGTGTTTTATATTTATTTATTATTCCGTATTCGATCCTCTCCGTCGCTGTGGTTTTAATTTGTTTCGTGATCGGTATTCAATTCAAATATTATTACGAATATCGATAACAGAACAATGTTAGGCAATTAGTCAAATTATAACTAATTTATGTATTTTATTAATGTTAATTGCTAATTGCTGAACTTTTAAATTATAATAAACCGCGGCGGACAATAAACTATTTATTTGGCAATTAAGATATTCCAAATGACCGCATTAATTATGAATTAATCTGTTCGTAATATATTATAATACGAGCGATTCGTTTAGCATTTATATTAGTTTTAATTACGTATTTGAAATTTCATTATTTTTCTATAACGAATTCACTCGTATTCGCGTTATTTTTCCTAAATACACGTTTCTAAGAAAAAATTACAATCACACATATCTTTAGCCATTTATTTTTATAGGTAGGTAATTGCATTTTAATATTTTGAAAATACGAGTATTGATCAATATTACGGTCAATTTCCGTAATACGTTTGGAAAATAAACCGCAGTGGCATAAATATCCCTAAAAACTAGGAGTGGATCCGGGGATCAGAGCAATCGACCCTTTCTCCCCTTTCCTCCCCCGGTCGCGAATACAAATTAAGGGAGATAATTTTTTGAAAAAAAAAAATAAAAAAATTACGCTGTTAACACAAATAAATAAATACATTTCATTTCATTTGTCGTAAATGTGTTTCCTGTCGAAATTAAAAAATCGCCCCTTGGCCCCCGTAAATTTTGTCTTTGATCCGGGCTGGATTAACGTACAGGCAGAGTAGCCATGTTTCTAGGGCTAAGCAGTGATGGGCATATATTTTTTTTTTTCTATTAATACGTGTATCCCGAAATTAAGCGTACTATAAATGTTTAATCTAAATAATATTAATAAATAGGTATATTAATGTGTCTGTAATATTATATACAAATAAATGTTTGTCTGCATGACTCCTGTTATGCCTTCCTAAACCGTTCATCCGATCGCCATGAAACTTTGGGAAGTTGTTGAGTACACTCCCGTGAAGGTTTCTGGCATAGTAAATCTAAGAAATTCTTCGGTAGCTCCACTATCGCCCACAAAAACCGGGTTTTAGGTACTTTTGGTACGAAAATAAAATATTATTTTTTTTATTTATTGGTTACCTTGGTAATATACGGATAATAAAACAAATATTATTAGTTAACTGGGTTGTCATGGGCAAATGCTTATTATGTCTATGCCATGTATTCTATGAGTGTGTATATGGGCAACTACTTAGTTTTTTGTCTTGATTGGAGAGAAAATGTTTAATTTTAACTGCCAACGCAGAAATAAATATTGTGTACACTTCAGTACATGGGTGATATAAGAAATACATAAGACATATTACATATATAGACATACCTAATATATACAAATCTTCTTTAAATTTGTCGAATACTGCATCGTCGACAGTTGTGTCCCCCCTCCGCCTCAAACGGATATCGATTGGTCGATCTACACCTAAAGCACGAAAGAAAAATGCATTATAAGCAACGGAAAACAAGATTAGAAAAGAAATATAATAGATAAAAAGAAAAATATAAAAAAATTGGCACGTGGCTTGTGTATATTATACATGTACAGGCTGCCCGACGATCTACTCCTTGAATTTCTCCAGAGATAATAAAGATAATCAAATTCAGATTTTTTTTTTTTTTTTTTTTATATTACTCACAGGGATGAAGACTAAAAATATTTATTTTTAAATTCAATTTTTTTTTAGTAAAAAAATTAACTTTATTTTATTATTTTCGGAAAATATTAAGATAGTAATTCTGTAGATTATTTTTTTGAAAATTTTAATGTGTCACACACTTATATCCGATGAATAGTTTTCTAAGTAACAGCCGTTTTAAATTCTTGTTGACCATTAAGTGCAACTTATAATGATCCTCCCGTTAAATTTTCAAGCATTTCTGTTTGCAATTTTATCAAAAGTGTACCTACGGAATAAAAATTCCGTAAAATCTCACAAAATTATAATGTTTAAAATAGGTAAAAAAATGGCTCATATATTTTTAAAATTTTACTACTTTCGGAAAAGGTAAACATACGATTTTTGTTTAAATTTCAAGTCTTTGCGAATATTTTTAATTGAATCGTAACAAAAAAACAAAAATGAAAATTATAAAAGAACTATTTCCGTATATTTTTCCGTTCTTTCTACGATTTTTGATTCTGAGTGCATGGAGCGAAGAAGCTGATGGTTAACCATCGATAAGAAATGCGTTAGCTGCAACCCTTCCGGATGCTTACGTTCCTATGATCACATATTAAATTTACGTTGACAATTTCGCTTTAGATATTTTCTGTTAATACTATCGCCGCTAAAGAAACTAAAGGCGGCGATATTACCGGTATACTCAGGCTGCAGCCTCCCTTGAGTTTGGTAGGACGGAGTTCAGATCCCCACGGTTATCATGTTATAAAAAAAAAAAAAAAAACAATATTTGTCATGTACATCCTTAAAATACTAATTCTATTTGTAACAAATTAATTGAGAAAGATAAACGTTTTTTTTCCTATTGTATGTGTTTATAAAATAGTGAACCCCCCATGACATTTTCAAAACTTGATGTCTCTGAGTATATCGATTTTAGTTCGCGGTGTTGGATTTTAATTTTTTTTTTTTAAACTGTACACCGAAATTATCGAATATATCCGAAATACCAAGAATATCGAATGTATCAAAATAATCTTTCCGAAAAATCGATTCATCGATATTTTCGGTACTGACTCATACCGGTATAAAATATCATACCGATATATCGATGTAAAAAAAAAAATACCGTCACCCCTAGGTAATACCGAATTCATAGGCATACTAATAAATAACTTACCGGTTCGTAAAATGTTATAATCACATTCGATAATATTGAACAAATTCACATGGATAATGCCTCAGTCCCATAAACATGTGTATTGAACTGCCCTTCGTGTGGTCTAATTGCACATGCCTCCCCAATGGTTTATACAGACTAAATATCTTTTTGAATTTGTGATCCAATAAAACCGCATCTCTTTTTTTGTTTAGTTTTATTGAATACATAATAAATACTAGAATTATGTTTGACATTGATATCATTCATTTTGGTTAAATAACAAAACAACAGATTAAAACAGATGGAAACACCGAAAAAAAAATATATCAATAATAAACATGTTTAAAACATATACCTACAAAAAAAAAAAAAAAAACGTTTTTTACCGAAATATCCAAAATACGAATAATTATGTATACTGACTCATAACGACATATAAATGTAAAAAAAATGTCATCACCCCCAATTAAGAATCAGTTTTCAATAAAAGTCAATCTATAAATTGGAATAATAAATTATTTATTAATTATATTCATAGAACTATTGTTATTAGTGTATGTGTAAATAAAATATTAAAGGGTAAAAAAATTGAACATTTTACTTAGATGGCCATATACAATGAACTATTAAAAAAAAAAAAAATGTGCCTAGGGCTATTCTCGGGCTTAATCCGACCCTGCGTGAATCCGCTCCTGCTAAGAACAAGTGTTAATTTACAATAAGTAGTAGTTTATGCGATTTTTCAAATATTAAATCCATTTTTTCTATTGGTTTTTATTTTTGCTAATCGAAAAAGTAAAATAGGAAATCGTTTTTCATGTTAGGTAATTACGTGGGCGGACGTGCTAACAATTAATATCAATGTGCCGAAAAAGAAGTTACTTATCTCAGTAATCAGTTTATAAAATATATTAAATACCTACCTATCTACCTAGGTACTATAAATATATACAGGACCGTGTTAAAGGGGGGCAATGAGGAAATTAGCCCCGGGATGCCTAACCTTATTCAAACTATTGGACACCCGGCTCAATATAAAACTTGAAAAAAAAATTAACAATATCATTATTAGTATGGCATTTATTTTTTGTTTTGTTTTCAAACGCTTTGCTTAGAGTAATACTTAATGGAATTATTGTTTGGTAATTAGAAGAGCGTATAAGTACAGCCTTAGTAACGTAACAGTGGTGCAACCAGGAGAATGTTTTGGGTGTCTGGACACCTCCCCCCCTACATCCTTGTTTAAGTAGTATAAATTTGTTTTTTTTAATGTAAACATGTGTCACCCCCTCGAAAATCCCGGTTGCACCACTGTAACGTAATATGTTGGTACCTAGAAAAAATTCATTAGTAAGGAGATTTTTGGTGGGGGTAAAATATTGATATTATAATTTGAATTTAATAAAATTGTGAGCAACTAAAATTTGATGGGAGAACCTCCAAAATTATCTACAAATAAGACCTTAAGAGGGAACGTTTAAAAATGGATACCGCTGGGCGCCAAACGATTTAACACAGCTCTGTATAGATATGTTTTTTTTAATGTATTATATTTTATTAGTATAACTAGAGACAGAATTTTTATATGCTCTTAAAATCCACAAAAAAAAAAAAAAAAAATACTTGGAAACGATAAAAAAGCCTTGAAAAAAGTACCTAAAAATATATAAAAACGCAAAAAGAATAGAGGGGGTTTTAAATTCTCTACTTTAACGAATTTAACTTATAAATACAATTTCTAACACTACTAAAATGATTATTAAAAAGTATTTTTTTTTTTAGTACGTACGATTTTATTTAAAAGAAATTTAATTTAATAAATTAATAAATTAATACACTTATTTTAGTATTTATCATTTATTATAATTTTTTTTGTTATACATTTTTATTATGAGTATCTAGATTTTTAAAATAAAAATATGAATTACATAACATTAAATTACTACTTTATATATAATTGTCAGTTTACTATCCTTGTCGGTCGATTGACTCAGACCCGTCAATTAATTGTATTTTAAAATCTATATAATACCCGTTACATTTTACATATAATGACCAATGAAAAAAAGTATGCCTCTTCTCCCAGGAAAATTGTCTGAATTCAACACTGACGGGTACCTAGCTCTGAAATGTGTACATAAAATTTCGTATCGGAAATATGTATAGGGGGTCGAATATATTTCATAAATGGTTTTTTTTCTTAAAAAATCAATGAATAAATGAGTTCTTCCCCCCTACCTTCCAACGGCGTTATATATGTGTCCATTCCTACTTTTTCATTGTAGTTTATTACCGGTGGCGTAGCCATGATTTCTCAATGGAGGGGTGGGGGAGAATAAACCCAAAATTGTATGTTTGTTAACATGCAATAGGTTTAAAAATATACTATTAATTAATAATCTGTGAAATATGAAAATAAATTGCATACACCATAAAGAAATCCCGAAAATAATTACGAAAGAATTTTGATAAAATAGTTTTTACAGTCGCCACTGATCAGTACCGGTTTAAGAATTTATATGTCATGTTATAATGTTATTACATTTTTGTTTCAAGTGGTATTCAAATCTCGTATACGACCACTTGACAACATTCGAACAAGTTTATTTTAAAAAGAAATCAGTTTTATTTTTTATAAAATATAAATCATTATATTATGTGAATTTTCCTAGATCGTCGCCCGTTTCCTACTCAATGTGTCAAAAGTAATCGAAATTCATATACAATATACTACATTGTATATTTTTAAATTTTGAGCATTACGAAGAATGTATTGGTTTTACTCTAATGGATGTTTTTTGTCTGTTCACACTTTTATACCAGACATTTAGCTCTGATCATCAACTGTTGGTGGTAGGCCCTGATTAGGAAAGCAGAGTGTGTCATGGCCCCAGGCCCCTGGATATCGTAAAATTGTGGGTCCTTGACCTTGGCGGGAAGTACGTTTCTTATAATATATTACGATAATGGATATAGTATTATTATTGTTTATACTATCGTGATATCGTCTGTTTATGGCAGGATGATCATGGTAAGGAAATGGAATACTGTCGATTACAAATGTACGGCGATCTCTAAAATATATTAATTTGTCGACCAATATTTTGATTATGTTTATGAGCCTCTAAAATTATTTGGTCCCAGGCCCAAAATCATCTTAATCCGGGCTTGGTAGGGGACGTTTCTGGTAGTAAATCTTGTCTTATTGGTGCATAGGGATGATAATAATTTTCTTAAGAATTGGGAGAGACTTAAAAAAATCTACGGAATTATGAATTTTGTTATTTTAGTAACTTATTTTGGTTCCTGTTCCCCGAAAACAGGAACAACTGAGTGTATAGGTGTGCGTTGAGAATTTCGACGAGTTATTTTCGTTATGGTTGGTATTATTATTCATCTCTTCTGATAAAAGACTTCTGTAACAATCAGGAATATGGTTTCATTTATGTCAATATTTTGTTCTGAATCCGGTGTGCTTCAGGTGTTGTGAATTTGTAATAGATTTCATTTCCGTGGAAGCCTGACAAGTGATAATATTAATGGCAGGATATTTTATATTGTGATATTTTGTTGTTTTTTTTCTAATGTTGTATTTTTGTTTCTATAATAATTTATGATTGAAATTAAATTTTATGCTTATAATCTATATGGTTTTTTTTTTGTTTCGAATGTCCCATAAAAACATCCAGACGTGTTAGCATCCGGACCCTTATCATTAGGGATTTTTTTTTATTATTATCATTTTTTTTTTTACATTGTGTCATTTATAATGACACTTCAATTCTAATAATTATTACGACGCCTACACTCATTTGCTGTCTGTCACGATTAGATAATACTAAAATTATCTTAATATTATAATTACTTCTGTTAAATATAGAATGAAACGTTGTTTTTACATGGTAAATCATGATGGGGTTTTTTTTATTAATATTAAAATGTATTACATTATTTTCATATGATTATTATAATTTATTATGGTATTTCTCTTTTCGTTCGATTGATTTAAAATAACGAACGAAAACGCGCGCCAAAAGCAATATACGATTATTAATAAATTGTTGGTATGTTCATTATTTTAGATTTTGAGTGTAGCGACAAAGCTATTATACTTTTACAATGATGCGTGTTTTCGCTGCGATTTGTTCGTGTCATATATCTTGAAAAGTCCAGATTTTTCGCAAAGTTGTATTTTATTTGAAAAATATTTCGGATTTTCTAATTGCTTTTTAAGTTTTTCGGTTCGGTAATTATTCCAATTTTGCTTGCAGTACCTATACTTCGAAAAATGCGGATATCTGGTGGCACTCTATTTGAAATATTTATAAAAATATTCATCAGTTCAGGACTTTTTTTCTCGAAAATCACTTGCAGTTAGTTAGAAGCGTTCAAACTTTCCTATTTTTCGCCGGGTAGTACTATTTATTTGAAAAAAGGTCTAGCATCTAAAATCCAATAATCGTTTTATCAAATTATTAAAAAAACTATCAATGAATGTCGAAACATCGGTTATTTTTTTTGATTTTTGGGCAAAAAACGTGACTAATTATACTATTTCACTCAAAATCGTTTTTTGTATCCAACAATAATAAACCCTCTCCTATCTTCTCAACTGCTTATAACAATAGTGAGCAGTATCAATGGGTTTTTTTTTTTAAATTTTTTAATCTCTCTTAATAAGGAAACGTTATTGCCGCGACAACCAAATTAAGTCATTGGTTAACAACCATTGTGAATAATTTGTGATAAATAAAAGAATCAATTTTTGTTTATAGTGTTAAAAAGGCCTTTTGCACGCTTCCTCCGTCTTTTGCATTTCGACCGACCCGTTATCATCCGAAATATTATTTAATACTTAATTTAACGTTTCTATCGAATGTAATGAATTTTATTCGTCTTCCTGTGTAATGGACCTCGTTTCACATGCATATACGATTTTCCAAACTAATTATCATAACGTGTGTGGGTATTGTGCTGTAGTACACAACGGGATCGAGATCAAATACGCGTAAAATCTATTGCACAGTGCATCGCAGGGGTTAACAAACGACAGGTCGCAACGGGCCACCGATAGGTTTCGTATATTTATTACAATGGGCGGAACGTGTTTATCCGGAAAGCATTTGTCCGGAATCTAAAAACGAAAAACCGTATTTATCCTGAACTTATGTTCACAGTATTAGTATTATATTCAGAAGTGTTCCCATAATCCCATAGTGTATACTGTACATATATGCTGTTTATTCTCAACTCGCAAGATTTTTTTTAAATGTTATGGGTATACTGCGTATATTCTCAAGTCTCAATCGATTTGCGTTTTTAACTCTCTAGTTTATTATTGGCACGTCCTTTCTCCCCTCTAAACTACAAGAAAAATATTTTTATTGTATTAATTGTAAATGTTTTGGTATTATTTTACTAACTTGGTATACTATCAAAACAATTAATGGGAACACCGCCGATTACATTTTAGCGAATAGGGTTTTCGGAATTATACTTTGCGGTCGCAAATACGGTTTTTGGATTTTATTTTCCGGGCACACGCAGACCGTATGAACACTACGTTCTGGATAATTACTTTTTGGATCGTTATAGCTAGGGATGAAAAGTTATAGGAATTGCATATTTTTGTTTATGTCTTCAATTCAGTGGTGTACGAAAGGGGGCTAAGGAGCTGAATCCCCCATTAACCGTTTTTATACATATAAATATATATATATATATGTAGCTTGGTGAAAAAAGGACCAATGTCATTTTTTTTTTAAATCAGTTAGAAATAATAAAAGAAAATGTACAAAAATTAAAATAAAATTTGTTAGAGTTTTTGTAAAAATTTAAAATTACACTAACATTTACATTTAATAAAATACACCCTTATGGGGAAATAAAATTTCAAAGCCCATTTCCCAACAATCACAAAGTCTGATATTGGCCCTTCTTGCACCAAGCCACAGTTATATATATTGTAGACACATATTTTTTATATTTTTCAAATTTCAACTGTAATAATAATAAGTAAATAAGAACCCAAATAATACCTATCTAAGATTGTAATATTTAACTTACTGAACTGATGTTACCAACAATTAACACATCGTTAAGTTAGCCCACGGATGTTGTAGATAATAATAATATAACCTTTAATTAGTGAAAAACAATTATGTAAATAATTTTATCCAGTGTGAATGTAATAATATTTTGTATAATTCGATTTTTCGTCGGTGTTTTCTTATAAAAAGTATCCCATAGTTTCGCACACTAAAAAAGACTAACTATTCATTATGGCATAAAAAAGATAGAATATTTTTCGATTTTTACTTTGAAGAAAAAAAAAGTTAAGTTATGCAACCCACAATTCATGCAATTCTAATGTTAGTTGATCTCTAGCTTTTTTAATACTCTACTAGCTTAAAAATTGTATTTTACTGCCCGATATTTTTAAAATCTGTTCCGTAACTTGGAGAATTCATATTTGTGTTTTTTTTTGTTTGCATATTATGGTAATTTTTTCAAGAATAGCATATTTAATGACTTTTTTGTGCATGTAAGATACAAATGCATGTATAGTCAATTTGTTTGCATATTTGTGCATATTTATTCAATATGTACTTGTTTTTAATGAATTCTATTCCATAAAATAACTAGTAGTTTGTTGATCATAAATAAGTAACAATAAAAATGTCTACTTAAATTAAAAAAAAAAAAACGAGATGAGGATTAATTGCGGTTAATGTTTGCGTCGCCGATTGTCTTGAATAGGTAATGCAAATGTAGCGACATTTATTGTTATTATGTTCGATACTCGAGAGTTACGCATACGTTTCCTTTTCATTCAGATAATGAAATAAATCGCGTACCTATACAGACGTAATGGTGTAAGAAACATTGACTATGGAATATAACTATCCAATAATGTCCATATTTTTTTTATTCAGACTGCGGTTCGATATTAAATGTTCTAAAACACGGAACAATGTAAAAGAAGAAAAAATGGATTTATATTAATGAATTGATCATTTTATAATATTAATATAAAGGCTGTCCAACGAAAATATACCCTTTGAATCTCCGGAGATAATATAGATAATTAAATTCTGATTTTTTTATATTACTCATAGAGATGATGACTATTCAAGGATATTCAAGGGGAATATCTTCGTGGGATAATCTGTATGTATAGTAATCGTAGAATAATAATCAATGCGGATAAAATTGGTGAAAGAAAAAAAAAATTCGTTTTAGTTTTTTTTTTTGCAATTAATTCTTTTAGATTTTGTCACCCGTGTTTTAAATCAAATTTCGTTTGCCAGTTAGATACTTTTACAAGTGCGTGTGATGCACTTATTTTTAGTCAACGGGTGTTGTGTGTCCATGGAATGTGGGACGGTCATTACATATTATTCTATAGGTTTTACAACAAAATAATGTAAAACCGTCGCATTCCAACTCGTTCTTAATAACACAAATTGAGTAAGCAACCATTTAAAAAAACTATTTTTGAACTCGTGTATTGTATCAATAAGAATACGAGTTTAATGTTTATATATTATATTATACATGAATAGCTCAAGAAACATTATGTATAAGACATACGAGTTAATCAGTGTTCTAAAGAATACTTTAAAAAAATATTTAAACACAATTTTAAATACTATTTATTTTTTTACCAATTACTTAACTATATTAATGACAACAATACAGTTATCGATCCGGTAATATAGATTTTTTGTCATACTTTTTTTAAATTTTATGTATACATATTTGTTTGAGAGTTTTATCAACTAAATTTAAATTGTTTAAAAAATAGTAGTTAAAAATTAAAAAAAACACATTTTAATATTAAAAATTGTGTTTTTTTTATTAAATTTGCACCGCCCACACCAATTGAAAAAAATTGGTTTCATTTTAAATACATAACTTGTTCAAAATTACTTTTGGTCGTATTAGTTCTTTTTTTTTGGTTAATATTAAACTGCCTACACTAAATATTAAACACTGCTTAGTAAGGGAGTATTATATATAATAAACACCTGTAAACAGACATTAAATAATAACCTATTTATAAGAGATCAAAAAAATAGCAACTGAAATAGTTAGTTTTAAATAACTACAATAAATGTTGGATAAAAAAGATCCTCCGCAATGTCCAACCTGTGCAGTCAACATAACAGTCAAACATTTAATAACCGAATGCATTAAGTACGCAGAAGACGCCAAAAAATACAACATATCATCCAACATAGACGAAGCTTTAGGCCCCAACAATGAAGATATCAACAACATGGTCGTTTTCTTGAGAAANCAATGTCCAACCTGTGGAGTCAGCATAACAGTCAAACATTTAATAACCGAATGCATTAAGACGCCAAAAAATACAACATATCATCCAACATAGACGAAGCTTTAGGCCCCAACAATGAAGATATCAACAACATGGTCGTTTTCTTGAGAAAAACTGACCTACTCAACCAAATCTAGAAGAGAACGGCACCGAAACTCACCTCCATACGAATCAACCACATACTTTGAATCATTTTAAGTTCATCTATACCTAACTAAATATACACATGTAAATTAGATTTAAAAAAAAACTGTAACTAATGGCCATAGTAGCTGATGTTTTATAAGATCAATAAAAAAAAAAAAAATGTTGGATTAATTAATTCTGTAAATAACTTTTTTTCCTTATTTTTTTGTATTTGTCAAAGATATTCCAATTTCTTGCTGGGTAATATATTCAAAAATTGGCCAATTTCATTGTCTGTTGATTTTGTTTGGTCAAATATATTTTGATAAATAACTGTATTTATGTGAAATTTTAATACAAACAAATAATAAGGCAGAATGTAAAAATGTATTTATTTTATCAGATATACAAATATGGCCTGACGTTCCTGAACTTACCCTTACATCGGGGGCTGATCTCACATTAAAATGTACAGGAGATGTACCTGTCAAATGGAACTATAGTCAATTTGATCCAAATTTAATTATAGAAAAAGTAAGAACCAGTCGTAGTTTTTACGAATGATTTATTTTAATAATAATTTCACTTAATTATAATTATATAACCCTTAACAATTATGTATCTATAATGTGTAATGTATTTTTTATAGACTTCATCAATCACTATATCCCAAGGACTGGCTAATAATAGTCATATATCTCTACTAACATTGAGTAGAGCTAGTTATTTAGATACTGGATATTATTACTGTGATCCGTTGCCCGAAGAATTAAAAGTAGATGAACAAAATTCTAAAAAAATATACCTGTTTATTCAACGTAAGTAATTATTTAAACTAAATGAAAAGATTAAATTTGAAAACATGTATTTTTTTATGGAGTGAAAATCATTTGTTAAATATATTTAATAGATATTAGACATTAAAAATAAGTTAACAAATTAATATTTAGCACCCTTAAGATATATTTTTTGTTATTATTATTTTTTGATATAATCATGAACAATGATATAAATTATTTTTTTATTAGTAGTTTAATTGAACTTAATTGAAAAATAATTAATTTATTATTTATATATTTCTATAAATATTGTTTAGATGAATCACATTTGTTGGCTGTTCCTGGGAATTTATATGCATTGTCTCAAGATGAATATGGTAATGTTATTATTCCGTGTCGACCAACATCACCAGAAGTGAATGTAACATTGCTCAAAGATGATGTTGAGGTAAGTTAAAGTTTTGAAAGATACACTTATTCACTTATTATAAATATGCATACAAAAAGCCAGAAAATCTTTGTTTAATAAAAATTACCATTATAATATGAACTCATTTTAAATACCGTGTAAACAGTCCATAACATTATTTTTAACAAGATTTTGTTTTTCATTATACATATTTATTTAGATTATAGCTTTATAGATTTTTTAAATAAAGAGTACACTTTTGATAAGGGATACACTACTCACATCATCAAATGTGTAGATGTTGAATTTACACAACAATGTAAAATTCATGTAAAAAAGTGTACACTTCTTGTTAAAACAAAAAAAAATCTAAAAACTATTGTCTATAATTTTACTTTTTTTTAGATAATAAAACTTTTTAATGATAATAATAATATTATTATAAATTATAATTAAATCAAAAATCTTTGAAATATCATTTAAAAAATTTCATATTATTTCATAGATTGTTTTTAATGTGATAATTTTGTTATAATAAAATAATAAAGTAAAGACAAAATTATTAAAATGGTTAATACACATAAATAAATAAAGTAAATAAATATATAAATAAAAAATTCATATATAAAAATAAAATAAATAAATTCATCGCCTAGAGTATTATAATAAGTGTATTATACGACCGGTTTTGAATTAAAAATTCATCATAGGTATATCACAGTTAAAATGTAACCATAATATAAATTTTGATATTAATACAAACTTAGAAATAATAAATATCCAAAATAACATTTACATTAATTCCGTTTTAGAAGAATTATACATACACAATATAATAGAGTAAAATAATTTGAATAATATTTTAAATGTACAAACAGATTTTAAAAATAATACCTTATATCAATACATTTTATATAATAAATAATAACCAAATGGTTTATGTTTCTTAAAATATCTATGTCTAATAATAACTAATTTTAAATAATCTCTCGTATTAAAATAAATTATTTCTATATTTTATGTAAAACGATTAATTTGTAAGTTTTTCTGTGTTTTCTTTCATTTAATTTTTAATATTCAGTCGCATTTTACATTTTAACTGTGATATACCTATGATGAATTTTTAATTCAAAACTGGTTGTATAATATACTTATTATAATACTCCAGGCGGCGCATTGATTCATTTATTTATTTTATTTTTATATATAAACTTTTTATTTATATACTTATTTACTTAATTCATTTTGTTACGCTTTTAATTTAATAATATTAATATAACAATTTAGTTTTGCTCTGGTTAACAGCATCCAGCGCTCAGTTTGTTTGCTGTTTTTTCATTTTGTTTGTTTAGTTTATAAATTGCACTTTCTGTGATCAATAATTTTTAACTTATACACAATCATTAATAATACTTTAATAAGCTTGCATTTGAATTGTATGGTCTTTGTGAATTTAATTTCTAATTTAATTAATATTTGAATGCCTAACAATTTCTTAATTTAGTTGGTGTCTGGTAACATGTATGGTGGTGGCATGGAATTGCATTATGATATGAAGTGTGGATTTTTACTCTATTCAGTGACAATATTAAATTCAGGGCCCTACAGGTGTCTTGCCAAACATAAGGACATAAAACAAATTGTAACCTATGAACTTAATATAATGCGTAAGGGAAATTTGTATGTGTTATGAGTACATTAATAATAATTTAATATTTGCTTGACTGCTTGTGTGGCTTAAGAGTAATTTTTTATTAACAACTTGTTAGACAAGGGTTTACTTAAAAGAAAAAAAAATATTTATATTCATATTTCAGATTACTGATACTGATAATATAGAATACGAGTATGATCAAAAAATAGGATACACACTTAGGTCACCTTCGGTCCGAGATTCTGGTTCATTCAGTTGTGTGAGCTACAAGAATAACATCAATGATTCACGAGAATTCAATGTTTTCATTAATCGTGAGTTGGTATTGTTACACATACATGGTGTTTGGTTATTGAATTTTGAGAACTTAGTACATTAAATGTATAATATACTTAAGTTAAAATTTGCTCTATATGTTGGTTCATCTCATTTATGTATAATATTATTATTTATTTATCAATAATTGATTTTGAATACTACTCTCTTACACATTGGTTAGTTTAAGATAATTTAAATTATTTCATTCTCATATTTTCAAAAATAAAAATAATTTTGTTTAGGTACCTTTTCTTTTAATTATAAAAAAGTGCACAAGTTTAACTTGTTTTTATTATTATTATCAAGATAGTTGAGTTTTATTTATTATATGTTTAATACAATGTTCATTAGTTTTACTGGAGATAAAATCAATTTAAAATAGCCAAACATACTTTGCACCATAAGTGAGTCACCGTTATAGGTGAGAAGTAGAGAAGGTTGGATGTACAGGGTACATTTTTTTTATCATGAACCAGAAATTATCTCAGAGGATTGAAGTGAAAATGATTTCTCTTATTCTTTTAATCATTATGAAATCGTTTGGGATTTATTTTAAATGTTATACCCTTTCTCCATATACTTTAAATAAGTACATAATTTTGTTTTTAAAATAGGAACCCCTCTTTAAACACAGATTTGATATTTTTTTATAAATATTGGTGTGCATAACACTAATATCAAAGTTAAAAATTTAGACCGGAGAAGTATAGAAGAATTATCAATTTATTATTTAAAAATAGACATGCCTTTTATTACCATTCTATAGGCCTCTTGTCTAAATTTTAAACGGTTATACCTCATAAACAGATATTCTCTATGCATATCTGTGTCAAAAAGAGAGGGTTTCTATTTTAAAACACAACAGTAAGTACTTATTAAAGGTGTATACCACCATCTAATACCATTATTTACTTTGTGTTTTCATATATTTATGTATGTTTATTTAAGTGTTATTATTGTAAAGAATAAAATTATTATAGGTCCTCACACGAGCTAGCTCAGTGGGGCCCATTATTTTGCAAAATAATATAGGTAAATAATAATAATAACAATAATACTAAGGAGTAGGATTAAAAATTTAAAATGGTGTTAAAATAAAGCTTAAATGACTTTACAATGATTAAAATAAAAAACAGAAATCAAATTCATAAAATCCTTGGAGATAATTTGTTCTTGATCATGATAAAAAAAAAATCACTCTGTATTGGTATATAAAGTAATTCAGTTTATATCTGTACTCAGCAATTATTTATTACGAACAAAAAACGAGTCTTAGTGAAGTTTGGTTAAACATATTTTGATAATTTTGAATAAAAGTTGTAGCTATTAATTTTTAACCACAAAATAAATTACAAAACAGTAAATTTAATTTTTGTCTTTATTAAACAAACAAAAAAAACTTTAAATTTAAAATAGCTATTAATTAATCATAAAACACCAGTATAATATTTTGGAAACAGCACCATAATGAAAAAAGGCTAATATAAATATTTTTGGTGAAAGTTTCAGATCTCTACAATTATTTTTAACAGAATTATAAAAAAATAAAATCGAAAATAGCTCAGAAACCTCTGATGCAAAATTATTATTTTTTTTTTTTTATTTTTCCCCGTTATTAAGAAAACCACAAAATGTTTACTCCAGTCTAGTTGTCCAACTAGACTTAATTTTGTATCCATTTCCCTAAAGTTGATGATCGTACCAAGATTTTTCGTTGTAATGTTATTTACAAATTAAAAATATATAATTCAAAAAATAGAAAAACCAAAATAAAAAAGACACACATGTTACACATATCAAATTAAAAATATACCTGCATGAGCTTTGCTCAGAATTTAAAATATATCTAGTAATTTTAATTAATTCTGATTGTAAATCATTGTAGTATTTGTTTAAAATAATTTGACTTGGTATGACTATCTACTCTGACTAAATTATTCGTTTTATTTTTTTTTATCATTATTAATAATAGCATTTATTACTTGACATGCTTTTGGCATTTAATTGGCATTATTTTTAATTTTGTTAATATTTATTGCACCATTAAAATAATTAAAATAACATTTGTACGATTTTAAATTATAATTTTCAGCTCTTGTGCATAATGTAGTTATGCCTTATATCAATAATACTGATTCAGACCATGTAATTATCGGTCAAAATTTAAGTCTAAATTGTTCCGTAATCATGGATCTTGGTGTTTCTTTTACATTACATTGGATAGTTCCCGATCAGCAGAAATTAAGGGTTAGCTGTTCACTCGATTCACTTATTTGGAATAATAATATTACTTTAATTATATATTATTGATAAGGATCGACATGTTATAATTGAAAAAGAACGTTTTGTCAATGGTTTGAAACACGGCATTAGTAAAAGTGTTGGTAGTCGTTTAATGAAGATTCAAAATGTTACTACTGAAGATGAAGGTCGGTATGATTGTGAAGTAACAGTGCATTCTGGACATAAAAACCATGCTTCATACACACTTAAAACATACAGTAAGGTCTAAACTACAGTTGCTTTTGTTATATGTAGTCTACATATAATAAAAGCATCATCTTTTTTTTACAATTTTTTTAATTATTATTGTTTTGTACTTTTGTAGCGCCCGATGTGACTTATTTGAATTTAACAGTACGAGGAGGTGTCAATAAAATAATAAGTAAAGCTGGAACTCTCAAGGTACAATGGATAATTGAAATATTAGCTTACCCAAAGCCGACTCTCGTATGGTAAATAGGGATAAAGTAAAAAAATTATTATTGATTTGCCTTAAATTTGTATTATTTAAACCACAGGAAAGATCCAGACGGTAGAGAAATAGGGATGAATACGGAAAAAATATCTGTGGAAAACGACAAGACTACATCCAAATTAGTTATATACAATTTACAACTATTCGATTCTGGTATGTACGAACTAACTGCAGATAATGATGCACATAGACAACACATTTCTGTTACTCTTTTAGTTAAAGGTAAACAAAGTGCTAAAATATCACAATATGTGGCAATTCTATATTTTATTTAAATTCTATATTTTAGAAAGACCTTTAGTAGAAATAGATAATAAATTTATGGCAAAACCAATCTATGACGTAGGAAAATTTCACAACATCAGCTGTAGAGTTGCTGGTTATCCATTGCCTGAGGTTGAATGGACTTTACAAAAATGTCCAAATCATTCCAAATGCGAAGATTCATATAACAAAATACCAGTAATATTATTATTATTATTATGAATATTTTTTTTTTATAAATAATTATGTAAATCAAAGAAGGTGATATTTTCAAAATATGCATAAAAATCGAGATTAAGTAAATTATTTATTTCTTCTCTTTTGCCTTCATTCCAATTATTTTAGGTCGTTCACACTTGCCCTAAAATCCCACATCATTCTCATATACAACGACTGTTCTCATATCATTGAATCAATCTCAACCGAATACAACCACCTCTTTTTCGGCCATCCATTTTCCCTCTTCCAATATTTATTTCTATTACTATTCTTACTCCTTTGATACTTCCTTTTTATTATTCCTTTTATTCCTTTTTATATTGTGGATGCTCTTGGCGTGTATAAAATATTAAATTTCCAGTTAGATCTTATGGTAAACTTCCATCCATAAACTTTCTTTGTTCAACATTTTAAACATAACACAAAATTCATCATTTTTATTTCAAAACTTTTTTAAATGTATTATTTACTCAAATTATTTTCTATAAAATGTAAAATATGTAAAAAAATTCACCAAATATGCATAAAATTAGTTATAAAAATAGAGACTCGAAAAAAACAGACATCCTAAAACTTCTCTTCTCTGCTAATAAGTAATATTGCATAATATATTTATTTCACAGAGAAACATGTATAAAGAAACCGTTATGAGCGAAACATTCCTTATATCGACTATAAATATTTTTTCTACTGAATCTGGAATACTTGCATGTAACGCTACAAATGAATATGGAAATACTATTTACACATCCAATTTTATTATGACTGGTAAAATAATGTAGTTATTTTATTCTATTAACTTTACAATTATATGGTTTTTATATAGAAATATATTATTTTAGATATACCTAATGGTTTAACAAACAAAGGACCTCCAATTGTGGTTGAAGGAGACTATAATGTAACACTAGAATGTGGTGCTTCTAAATATTATTACCACCATGATATAAAATGGACCTATCAAACGTTAATTGGGGAAGAGGTTCCAGTAAATATCAATGATAGTGAGTAAATATATTCAAAATAGAAATATTCTATTTATTTTATTTTTTTATTGAATATTTTATTTAACTATTTATAGCAAATAAATTAAAATTATGCAATTTAAAAATGATAATTAACTATTTATAAATTTGTTGCAGATTTTATTATTACTAATAATGATACACAATTTTCATATCGGTCAAACTTAATAATAAAAAATGTAACAAATAAAGATAATGGAACATATTTTTGTACTGTTCTTGAAGTAAATAAGGAAGATAAAGTAAAACTAATATTTCCATTAATAGTCAAGAGTAAGTCTATTTTGAATAAAATAATTTAAGAAACCTCTTATGTATAATTTTTATATAACTACAGAACCACATATTCCATTAATTAATAAAGTATCTAATTCAAGTATTCGGTCAGTCAAAACTGGACAACCAGTACAATGGCATTGTTATGTAAGCGATGGTATGCCACCGCCAACTATTTTATGGTATAAAGTAAGTAAATATTGTTTATAAATAAAACATTTAGTAGTTAACATTTAGTAACATTAAGTAGTTATTTTATTTATATACTTCTAGAATGGCCAACTATTTCACTTAGCTAAAAATGATACTAGAGTGTTGTTAGCAGATAAAAATCAAACACTTATAATTCGTTTTACTGCATTAGAAGATGAAGGCTCTTATACATGTAATGTTTCAAATAGAATAGGCAGTTCTACTTTGACCAATAGTTTGATATTTATTGGTATGTTTATAACTTGTATAAATAAAATATTTAATTTTATAATATAGCATGTTTTTTTCTACAATTTTAATGTAGATACATTAGTATACTATAAATATTTTTATTATAGATAGACCTACAGAACATGAACATTTCGGTTTCATTGCTTTTTGTACTGTATCGACTATACTTCTGGGAGTTCTTATGATAGGATGTGCCATACACTTAAGAAGAGAACAGGTGATTTAAATTAATTCTAATACTTGATCAACATATTATAATTTAATTAACTGTACATTTTAAAACAGAAATTAAAACAAGAATTAGCTCTCGCCGGCTTATTACACTTTGAAAATGGTGCAGTAGAAAGTTGGAATCCTGATTTGGGGATTGAAGAACAAGCAGAACTGCTTCCCTATGATAAACGATGGGAGTTTCCTAGAGATAAATTAAAGCTTGGTAAAATATAAGGAAACTTTGTTATATTTTTAATTTTTTGTGTAATACTTAAAAGTATACAATTTTGATCAACAATTTAGTTTGATTACTATATTCACTAAGTCGTTATAAACATAATCATTAGTTAGATAAAATCTAGAATTTGGTCTGGTAATTAATCAACATACTTAAACGATCTTAATAATATTCAATATATATTTCTGAAAAGAATTGCCTGCGTTACCCATTATACTATCTCCAGAGACTTTCCTCGTGGTTCAAGGCTCTATAAGTCCAGATTCTCTTACCATCAGACATAATTTAATAAATATAATGAATGTTTATGATATTGTAAATAACTATATCAACTGCCTAGCTATTTTAAATTTAAATGGATTTAAAATCCTTAGTCGAATACACGTAATTCTGATTTGTTCTATATAATTAAATTTAAAACAAATTGTGACAAAAATTAATTTTTCTCAAGAGCTCTGTTAAACATTAATAAAATCTCCACAATCTTAAGTTTTTTTTGTTTTATCTTACCAGAATTTTAAAACTAAAACATTGTTACTTTTAAACCATAGAACCTAATTAATTTTATATTGTTTTATTAAGTTTCACGTGTCAATTAATATGTAATATTTTACTAAAGGACTTATGCCCATTGCTTAATAATAAATAAATAAATAAATAATTGTTATTTAATTTATAGGTAAACAACTAGGTTCAGGAGCATTTGGTATTGTCTTTAAAGCCGAAGCTATGGGTATAATTGATAAAGATACAACTACTACTGTTGCTGTAAAGATGGTAAAACCTAATACAGACCCATCATATATTAAAGCACTAGCTTCTGAGTTAAAGATTATGATCCATCTTGGCAGGCACTTAAATGTAGTAAATTTACTTGGAGCATATACTGGAAATATAAACAAAAGTAAAATGAATACTGTTTAAATTAATACCAATATAATTCTGAAAAAAGGTATAAACAAATGTATATTTTTTTTCAGGAGAACTGATGGTGATTGTAGAATATTGTCGTTTTGGAAATATTCATCAATATTTGCTTAAACAGAGAGACCGCTTTGTAAACCAAATAACACCCGATGGTTATTTGGATTACGATATTAATACAATATCAAAGTAATTTGAATCAATATTTTGATTTTTAAACAGTCCTCCCTCAAATAATATTAAATTATTAACTATAAACTTTTGTGCATTAGAAATCCATTTTATGTAAACATTCCTAATAAAATTGAATTGTGTACAAAAGTTGATGATAGTGGTACACAGATTGGTTCCGATGGTTATTTGGTACCCGATGAAGTTGAACCAGAGTGGCGTACCAATTATCGTGGCGACTATAAAAATTTAACTGTTAAGCCAATTTGTACACATGACTTGATATGTTGGTCATTTCAAGTAGCACGAGGAATGGAATATCTCGCCAGTAGAAAAGTATAATTTTGAAATACTGTAGTTTTATAAACTGCATGCATACTTACTTTCTAGTGTAATACTAAATTAGCTTTATTCCTTGCTATTATATCCTCCCTTGAAGAATTCCCTCTTAAATAATTGCTTTAAAAAATCTCAATTGAAGAGATATTATAAATTTAATGTCTTACATTAATTGTTTAGATTCTTCATGGCGACTTAGCAACAAGAAATATTCTTTTAGCCGAAGAAAATATTGTAAAAATATGTGACTTTGGGTTTGCAAAAACTATGTATAACAATGAAAATTACAAAAAAAAGTCAGATAAGGTATAATTTTGTATAATTGTGTTAATTTCAGTATATAATATATATATATATATAAATACATTTTATTAAATTTTAGGATCTTTTGCCAGTCAAGTGGATGGCAATTGAATCCTTACGTGATCGAGTTTTTTCAACACAATCAGATGTTTGGGCATTTGGTGTAGTTCTGTGGGAAATATTCTCTTTAGCTGTTACTCCATACCCAAGTAAATTGTTTATAGTTAATGTTAATATATTTAATAATAAACTTGATGATGTATAAATGAAATTAATATTGCTTTGCTTACTCTATTAGATGTACAAAAATTTAATGAATTGTTTAACAAGTTAATTGAAGGTTACCGAATGGAACAACCAAAATTTGCAAATTCTGAAATGTAAATCATTTTTCAATAACCTATTATTTTTTTGAATCATAGTTTAAATTGTTTTAAGTTTAATAATATTTATTTTTTTGTTCAGATATAATATAATGTTGGACTGTTGGAAAGTAGTTCCAATGTCAAGGCCAACATTCACAGATTTATCCGAACGCTTAAGTGATTTATTACAAGACGGTACAAAATCGGTAAACAAATTTAATATAAAATGTATTACATTTTTTGAATATTATTATTAATGTTTATTCATAGCATTACATGAATTTAAATGAGGTTTATATGAGAATGAATACTGAAGGAGGTCATTCGACTGATTACTTGAGTCTTTTAACTGAACCGACTTATTTAAATTGTTCAACTGTGTCTGAAAACAATTCAAATTCTTGTCTAAACATTTCTGAACATTCTGAAAACAGAGATGATTTGGAATTGAAACCAATGCTTAACTCAGGTAAATTAAATTAAATTTGATTAGCTTGTTTTTGTTAATATTGTTTAACACGTTCACCTCAGCACATACATCACTCTCCAAAATTATACGCACAGTGTTCTGTGATAACTATTAGCCATCACTTACAAATCCTTACAAATAATCAACTGCATAAAATGATGTAGTCACTGAATGTTCTTGATCATATCATATCAGCCAAAAATGTATATATAAATCTATGAATATAAACTGTGATGCTAACCAGATATATAATTGTTAGTGCACTGGTGAACGTGCTAATAGTTAATAACAATTTTAATACTATTTTAGACTAGGTTTTCTTTAGTACTTAACATTGAAGTCTTTTAAAAATTTTAACTAATCATCTTATCAAACTATGTTTTATGTACTTTTTAGTTGAATGTTCTGGTTACATAAATTTAACAAAACCGTCGTATTTTTCTAACCCCAATTATGATTGTGTGGATAAAACCAAAAATTATTCATATTTACCATCAACGTGTCCAAGGTACACATTCATAACTTGCTTATTAAAATGCATAATATATTATTTGCTTTTATTAACTCGCTATATTTTTGGTAAACCCTGGCTTTCTACTGAAATAATATACATTCTAGTAAAAACTAATAAGTCAGTGTTTTTGTGGATTTTGAGGTTTTTTTGTTTTGTTAGTAAAATAAATTATCATGTACTTCATCGACAATATTATTTAATAATATATGCAATTTAAAAAAAGACTAATGCATTATTAATGATAATTAAGATAGTATTTGTTTTCCAAGTCTATTATTAATTTATTATTTGTTTGATTTGGAACATTTTTAATTGCACAAATTGCACATGCTTGGATCTATTTACTAAAATAAAATAACAAAATTAATTAGTTTTATTAAGTGAACATATGTTATTTATTTGCAGCTATGTTTGACTGATTCAATTAATAGAGCTGTAATTTGGTGACGCTGTTACTGTTTTTGATTTTTGTTAAATAAAGTATAATTTATTTTAAAAAATGATAATTTATATTGTAAATATAATTTAAATTTTATAAATCTTAATTGAATTAATAATCACATCAATGACGAGTCATGTTTTTGACACTTTACTACGTTATTCTTTTATCATAGTTTATTCTTTTATGGTTTAATGTCTGGTTGATGATTTTTAATAATTCAGATTTGTTTTTTCAATAATTGTGAAATTTGTTTAAGCCCTATTTTAACAATATTTTCTTTATTTTCATCCCTACCCATTATATCTTAAATAAGTAATAACTTTTACTTCTTAAGTGATAATCTCTCCTTTTCAACACAGATTCGAACAAAGAATATTTTTGTAAACATTTTGTCACACATAACTATTATTATGAATATATTGTTTATAAAACAGTTTAAAATTAAGACCGGAGAATTATAAAAGGATAATACATTGTGTGTCCATATTTAGATAATGATCCTTCTCCACAACGGCAATTTAAATTTTAAACTTATATTTAATAAATGGTAAATCCAGTAAGTGTGTTGTGTATATTAACATTTTTGTAAAATCAAATTTTCGTTAAGGTTGGTTGATCACCCAATATATTCTAATAAGTTAGTTTAAAAGAGTTTAAAAAACCAATAATACATGTTTATTTAATTCTCATCTCAAAAATAGATTTGTACTTAACTAATTGTGTAATTTTAAAATATTGAATATTTATTTTTATATTTAATAATTGAAATTACAACAGGATTTAAAGTTTTCTTTTTAAAAGTTAAAAATGACTGACTTGTTTTGGTATGTAATTATAGTGATACAATTAGAACTCTAAAATAAAATTGGCATATGACTAGTCAATAATATTATGTATTTTTATGAAAATTTTAAATATTGATTCGTATTTATTTTGATCATTTTGTATAAAATAACATATTCCATCCATTGTATTTGTATTGAATGTTTTTTAATGTAATAATTTTGTGTACCTATGTAATTTATTGTTTTCTTAAATCATTATTATTTATTTATTTGTTTTTTTTTTCTAATGTGTAATTTAAAAAAATATATATACTATTTGAAAATGTATCATTTTTGAACAAAATAGGTCACTTTTAATAATCTATTGTATAAGATTTATCATATCCTGTGTTATGATCTTATCGGTTATTATATCTACAGTATGTATTAAATGCTGTCAGTCAATATATAAATACAGTTGGACATTTTTAGAAAACATTTGTTACTACTTTACCACTTTTAAATTGTTGACAATCAATTATTAGTGTAAAATTGCACATGACAAATCTTACAAAGATAAACTATAAAAAAAAAATGTATTATGGCAAGTTGCATCATATCATTTTTTTGTGTAATAAATCAGTTTTACCCAGAGCATTATTGTCAAAAACAATTAAAATAGATGAAAATGATAATCATTACACCTACCAGCCTATCATATTTATCATATTCATATAACTATTAAATTAATTTAGACTGATGAAATGCCGCTAGCATATGTCGAGTACATCACGGTACCCTACCATTTATTTTTCAGACCATACATTTTCAATTTATACATTAATAATTTAAATTAATCATGGTAATTATATTATATATATTGTAATCCGAATGTAAAGTTGTTATTAAAATCAATGAGATCAAAAAAATGATGCATCATTCCTAATTAACTAGCATACATAAATTACAAGTATATCATAAGAACATAGAACCAAAAATGTATTGCCAAGCTCCTAAAGGGTGGTATGACCCGAGAAGCACTTGATCGAATGTACTGTCCTGGGGGGGATAATGATAAAACGTAGAAATATTTTTTAAAAAAAAAAATAAATAAATAAAACCAGCATAAATTCTTAATATTGAATAAATTTTATTTTCGCGAAAATAAAATCAAATAGTATTTTACACATACACAGCCGAATATATATATAAGTATATAGAAAAAGTACATAAAATCAGTCTAATCATGGAACAATAAACAATCATTGAGATTTAACGACAAGAAAAATCAATAGGAAACACGATAAATATTTACAAAAGTCGTAACATGGAACATAAAAAAAAAATTAATCGACTTCTTCAACAGTAGGTCCTCGGGATGGTGATCCGGGGAATCCGTAACCTCCGGGAGGCGCGGCCTGCGGTCTTCCGGCTTGACCGCCGTGTAATTTCATCATCAACTCCGAGCAGTTCTTCTGGATTTCCTTTAGTTTATACTCATATTCTTCTTTGTCCGCCAATTGATTGTTGTCCAACCACTGGATGACCGTTTCGCACTGCTGTTTGCCAGCGTTTTTCTCAGATTCGGTCAGCTTGTCGCCAGCCTCGTCCAGCGCCTGTTTCACGCCGAACACGTAACTCTCCAACTGGTTCTTGGCCGCGATCTTGACCTTTTGTCGTTCGTCCTCCTCTTTGTACCGCTCGGCTTCGCTGAGCATACGATCGATTTCGGCCTGAGACAAACGGCCCTTGTCGTTCTTGATGACTATGTTCTTGGAACGACCGGAACTGTTGTCTTTGGCCGACACGTTCAAAATACCGTTAGCGTCCAAATCGAAAGTCACGTCGATCTTGGGCACACCTCGAGGCGCCGGTGGTATGCCGGTCAAGTCGAAAGTTCCCAACAGATTGTTGTCCTTGGTCATGGCTCTTTCTCCTTCGAACACCTGTATAGTGACGGCCGGTTGGTTGTCCGCGTAAGTAGTAAACGTCTGGGTTTGTTTGCACGGTATGGTGCAATTGCGGTCGACGATCTTGGTCATGACGCCTCCCGCGGTCTCGATGCCCAGCGACAGAGGCGTCACGTCCACGAGTAACACGTCCTGGATGGCAGAACTCGTGTCGCCACCAAGAATTGCCGCCTGTACGGCAGCGCCGTAAGCTACCGCCTCGTCCGGGTTGATGGACAGATTGAGCGACTTACCGCAGAAAAAGTTTTGAAGGAGACTCTGAATTTTCGGAATCCTCGTAGAACCGCCCACGAGCACCACGTCGTGTATAGCTCCTTTGTCCAACTTGGCGTCCGCCAACGCCTTCTCCACCGGTTGCAAGGTCGCTCTGAACAGGTCGGCGCACAGCTCCTCGAAACGGGCTCGGGACACTCTCGTATAGAAATCGACGCCTTCCATCAGGGCGTCGATCTCAATGGTGGCCTCAGAGCTGGATGACAAAGTTCTCTTGGCGCGTTCCGCGGCGGTTCTCAGCCGTCTCAACGCTCTTGGGTTGCTCTTCACGTCCTTTTTGAACTTTCTCTTGAACTCTTCCGCCAAATGAGATACTAGCCGGTTGTCAAAGTCTTCGCCTCCCAAGTGTGTGTCCCCCGCCGTAGACTTCACTTCGAATATCGATCCCTCGTCGATCTGCAACACGGACACGTCAAACGTACCGCCGCCCAGATCGAATATCAACACGTTCCTTTCCCCTTTCAGGTTCTTGTCCAGACCGTAGGCCAGAGCCGCAGCCGTCGGTTCGTTGATAATCCTCATCACATTCAGACCGGCGATGACGCCCGCGTCCTTGGTCGCTTGCCTCTGCGAATCGTTGAAATACGCCGGCACCGTTATGACAGCGTCCGTGACATTACGACCCAAATACGCTTCGGCGGTCTCCTTCATCTTAGTCAATACCATCGAACTTATCTCTTCAGGCGCGAAAACCTTTCGTTCACCTTTAAATTCCACTTGGATTTTCGGTTTTCCGCAGTCGTCGACTACTTTGAATGGCCAATGTTTCATGTCCGCTTGCGTCTTCTCGTCGTCGAACCGACGGCCGATCAAACGTTTGGCGTCGAACACCGTGTTACTGGGATTCATGGCCACCTGGTTCTTGGCCCCGTCTCCGATCAACCGTTCGGTGTCCGTAAACGCCACATAACTCGGGGTGGTTCTGTTACCTTGGTCGTTGGCGATGATCTCGACTTTTCCGTGTTGCCAGATACCCACACAAGAGTATGTGGTACCCAAATCAATTCCGATTGCCGTTTTTCCGACCATTTCGTGGATTGTTGATATTCACAAAAATCGTAAATTATTCACAATCAAAAATAAGAATAAAAATCGTTATTTAATGTAACACTCGATAAGCAAATGGTATAAATCGCACTGAAAAATCGTCGAAATAATAGCGACAAATAACCGCGTAAAACAGAACAAGTTCGCTTTCAGATTCAAACTGACGTCCGACGGTGCGCCGTTTACGTTTATATAGCCGACTGAATGTTCGAGAACGTTCGGCATGGCTCGCGAAACGCATTCGCCGTCCCCCTTCACCGGCCACTCATCGTTTGTTTTACTATAACAACGTAGACAATTCTAGAATCTTCTCGAATCGTGTCTGTGTTTGACATTATTCCGTAATTAATATAAGAACGGACTTGTATGAAAGATGGAATAGGATTTTTCAAATTAAGAAATAATGGGTAATATTACGGAAATAACGATTTCAAATTCGATCTTAGATTTTGAGTGGACCGAAGAAACTTGTGGTTTACCAAAGATGTTTTTTTTTTTTTTTTATGTTTGTTTTTATCTATGGACGACTTTTCTACCAGTAATTTTGTTCCAATTTTCAATGATAGCAATTTTTCTAAAAAGAAATTTCACTAGGGAGGTCATTTTTCGATTTTCTCAGTTTTCCTTACAAATGTAAAAAACCGAGGAAAAATGGGAATAATTAAATTTAGTTATTGTTGGTAAAAACCCATAGTTGGAATGTACAAATGTCAAATTTGGTTCCATGAGCATTTCATTTAGAAAGGCTTTAGATTATTTTATAGATAGAACATCGTCAGAATCAAAATGCTGCAAAACATTTCGTATTCATTCAAAATATTGGTAATAATAAGAAGTAGCTTCGGTCCAAGTACCCTAACATGTGAGTACGGGTGCGGGAGGAAGAGCTTCTGTCTTAAACAATAAAACACGTGAAGGGGTTTTTAAAAATACTTGCTGTCCTTTTGCTACTAATTCATCAACTCTAGGAATATGACTCCGAATATTTTCTGTCAATCTACGTAATCCGCGTGCTATACAAATAACATGAGTCATCTTGGAGTACAGAGCTTTAATAGTCGTACATACTTTCTTCACGTACGGCGGTGCATCGCTTAGAAATAGTAATACGTCATCATGACGAACACCGTCGGGCCACAGTAAATACATTGGGTTGTCAAAGTGTATTTGGTAATTGTAGACAAATTGGCTTACTCTAGAACTCCAGTGTTTAATAAATATAGGGTCTATCATTCAGCAGAGCTCCAATCAGGTACCATTATCTAGATTTTTACAGCAGACAGCATTTCCATTTCATTCGTGTACGCGCTCGTGTTCAACCGGTAATTAAAACCGGATTGTCAATGTTTAAATTCGTTTTTAAAATACAATGCAATAATGATTGCACTGGACTTTGTACGCCTTCACTAAATCGTGTTTTTACATTGTTTCAACCTTGATAGGTACGCAATTTGCGGTTTTTTTATTTGATTTAATGATCACTTCTATTAGGACGAACGGTAACGAACAAAAAAAAAAAAAAAAACAACACCGAACGGAATACTGAATAATATCATATGTATAATGTAGACACCTATTACTTGCCTATACTTGTATTGGGAATCCATGTAATATTATTGCCTAATTTCTGATTTATTGTTTGAAAACCCATTAACATGCATACACTTTTACCGGGAAACTATTTATCCATACATTATATTGGATATATTTGATAAATATACACAACACCCTAGCAAGTATTGTAGAATTTGCAATCGTAGTATAACAGTCTTGGAATATTACGAATTATCTGTGTTTTTTATAATAATGAGTATGGTAAATATTTATGTTTTTTTTTTCTTTAGATTCCGAGCGTAACGAGGGTAGCTACTGGTTTTACTAAGATGTTTATTTATTCTTTTTTTTCTAGTCTTTCCCTAGTAAACTTGCTCCGATTTTTCCGTGTAGCAACTCTTCTGAAAGCTCAAATTGTCTAGACGGTATTTCAAAGTGGTCATTTTTTGATTTTTGACGCCATTTTTTAAATAAAAGCACTTAAGTGGAAAAAACGTGGGAAAACGTGCAATTTCACGATTTCATTATTTTATAAAAAAACACGGACGACGTTTTATACCAGAAAAATGATTTAATCGAAAAATCATAGAACACTATTTTTGTTGCTTTATGATTTACTTTCTAACGGTATCATCGCCAAAACTTTTGAGCCACTTTTGACGTTTTAAGGAATTTTAATTTATGGGAGTTGTTTTGCTGTAATTCGGTTATAAATACACGTAGAGACTTGAAACTTGGTAATAATATTTGTATTAGATTTAACTAGACGTGGTAAAATTTCCAAAATGATCGGACTTATTTTTTTAAAATCACATTTAAACGAAAATTGCAAAAAAATTACGTAAATCCAAATTATGTATTACCGAACTGCGCTCGGAATCGTCCATCGTCAAGCAATGGCTTATCGTTGCTTACAGATATAAATGAAATAACCTTATGTATCCCACCTTCCCAACTTTTCATCAACAACAGTGACCGCTCTCATCCCCAATATCAGCTCTTATTTTTTTTCGGGCCCATCAGACATTGCAACAAATTCAAATAATTAACAAAGTATGCGAATTAAAAAAATAAAGAATAACAGATCGAATGATCCACTATCACCTAACTTTTTCATTAATTACATAACGGTACCACACATACAACAAAAAACAACGGTTTTACCACAGTATATTTAAACCGAGTTACATCTGTGATTGTAATACCCGCAATTAGTTAACTTAAATTTTAGTTGATAACCGAGTTGCTAAACTCCTCGAGTTAGACCGAGAATTGTAATACGGACCCTTAGTTATCTTATTGTTTAATGTTTAAACCATAGACATATTAATGCCCGGTTGCACCCGACCCGTATTTGTCAATTGATAAATCTTTATAAATATAGTGTTAAATATTAACACGATGATAAACTAACAGTTGATAAATTGAAGTTTTATCGTGTGTTAAATTTACAGGTGTTACTCGATCATGTTTTTATATTCAGGTTATTATAACCAGAATAATGATTATTAAGTTGCGGCTGTAGAAGTTAATATTATTATCACTAATAAACTATAATAATAACATCAATTATGAATTAATAATATAATAATATAATTTAATGTTTTCGATTATCACGTCACCATAATAACGCAAAACATTGATAACGAAATTTAACTATAGATAAATATTTACACAGCGATAAATGGACATTAAATTTAACTCTTGATAAACTACATTTTTATCAACAGATAAAATTTAAAACCTAATTGGTGCAATGGAATTTAGGTAAGTACTACAGATAGACGAGTTTATCTCTGTGTAAATAGTTGGTGCAACCCGTTAAAACCAGGTTAGATTAATATTAAGTTTTTATGTCTATGGTTTAAACCATGGTTTAAGATTTATATGATACACTTATCTTATACCATGATAAAGATTATTGTCCGTGCTATAAATTAATGATATCAGAAAATTATTAACCTTAAAATATCGTATGTGAAAATCATAATAAATACATAGCATGTGTAAATTGTGTATTTTCTTATTTTTAATTTTTATAAAGTGAAATATTTAAATATACTGACTTACTATGGAAGATATTTCCGATGTGCTGAATAAAAAAGAAGCCTCAGACAGAGCATCACAACTCAGCGTGACTGTATCCAAGATATTAGAACCTGAAATTGATTTAGGTACATTACTTTGTTTTGATTCAAATGATTTTGACACCAAACAACTCAGGTAATAAAAATTATTTCATCTTACATAGGTACATTTTATAATATAATATTTCAATTAATATAGGTCAGATCAAGAAGCATATTTAACAGATGAAACTAGAAATAATGTACAGTTAATAATTAACCAATTATTTGAATTGCCTATGAAAAATGAAGATGGATACATGTATGTAGATTTACCAGAACCCAGGTACAATTTACCTCGTGAAAAACCGTTACCAGCGCCTAAAGCACTGACTAAATGGCAGAAATTTGCTATTGAAAAAGGAATTAAGAAAACACCCAAACCTAAATCAACATGGGACGATATTTTACAGGTACTTGTTTTTACTTAATAGAAACTCTTTATAACCACAGTGAAAAGATTAGTAACATTTGTTTGCATTAGCTATTTGATACTTAATAAGTATAAACTGATTTGTTTCTTATAATTATATGTATATATATTTTTTTTTAATAAAGTCAGACCAAAAATACCCGTTTAAAGTCCAGCTTTTGGGATAAAAAAAAGTCAAAGTATCCAAAAACTCTGAAAATATTTATTATCCGTACAATTTCTTGCGATTTAAGTTATCTTAATAGTATAATATATTATAGTTGTCTCATTCTATTAGAAATGGATACCGACTTATGGTTACAAAAAAGCTGCTGCAGAAAAAGATAAGGATTGGATTTTGGAAGTACCTGGAAATGCTGCAGATCCAAATGTTGATTTGTTTGCTCAAAAGAGAGAAGCAAAAAAAGAACGTGTAGCTAAAAATGAATACCAAAGATTACGTAATATAGCTGCTACACGTAAGATAAAAGTGCCCTCTGTTGGATTGCCACCTTTGGAAGGAACATTGCACTCGAATCAGGTAATTTTTAAAGAACTTATTATATGATTAAGATATTTTTTCCACATTATTTACAATTTGATTGACTATATACTTATTGAATAATATTTATAGTTAAAAACTGCTGTGGATGTTGCAAAAATTTCAACTGCTTCAGTTGGTAAATTCCAGCCTAAGTTAAGCAAAGAAGTTGTGTCAGTTAAAAAAAATATACCTGGATTGAAAAAAGAAAAACTTCCAGCTAAGGTATTATTATTAATTAATGATTATGATAGTATAATTATACAAATAAATTTCAAATTTTATACAATAGATTTCATTCAATAATCCTATAGTCATAAAATATTCAAAACCAAATAAACACGATAATTGCTTTAAGGAAACATAAAATTGTCTACTTAGTATATTTAAAAATTATTTTTAGATGATATTAATTGCTCATTTTTTGTATACCACATCAATAAGATGTTTAACTTGTTGGATACAAAGTTGTTGTTGCATGGTTCTGTCTATTTTATTTAATCTAATGGTATTATTATCTAAGAGTTAAATAAATAATTTAATTAGGTTTAACAAAAATTTAAATATTTTAAAGTTCTTCTAAAGGGATCTAAATAGCTTAGATTTTCTCGAATATCTTGATCTTCGTGGGTCATTTAGTGACACTCTAGTTAACTATATCCCCATGGCTAATTTAGATCTTCGTGTGCGGCCATTAAGATCCTTTAGACCTAAATGACACAAAAAAGAAATAAATGTTAGACGATCTAAATGTTTACTAAATGATAATTTTCCGGCTATCATATTTGTTTAAACAAATTTATATAGAAAAGCTACATTCAATTTAATTTTATTCCTGTATTTTACACTCGGCTGAACATCTGCAATATTATTTTTTAAATTTGTATTATGTTCTGTTGGTTTACCTTATCAAATATCAAAGTTAAGGAGACACATATGCAGTAGCGACACACCCTTTTAAGATGTTAGCCACATGATTGTTGAACATAAATAATAGCTATGGCTTTTTATATATATTGTATATAACCTGTTAATAATATACTATACAGTATATAATTTTAGCATACCCAAAGGAATATAGTTTAAATTTACACAATAAACTGATAATAATATTGATTTCATAGTGTAAATTGAAGAAATATTCAATCATTTTTTCTATAACTCCTTCTAGTTACTTGTATCCACACTCAATATCAGTTCCCCCATTTCCTTTTTTAAGCATAATATATTTATAAATATCCCTATGATTAGAACACATCAAATAACAAGGGTTTTTCTTTTCCATGAGTTATTATCATACAATAATATTGTGGACTGTGATTATTACTTATAAACAGGACTTGGATTTTATAACACTGACAAACTTATAATATTAGCTATAACCTAATAAATCTTAAAATATATCAAAAACACAGAAAATAGCAAAAAGAAAATTCCAATTTTTTTATAATTTGTAATATTCTTTTAAATATATAAATACAATTGATATGAAATCATAAATAAATCTATCAAATGTTCAATAAGTCTGCTTCACTGAACTACTTAAAAATAGATTATAACATGAAATAAAATTATTCATTAAAGTCATATGCTTCATATTTCACAAAATGTATTTTTATTTGTGTATTTATACAATACTATTATTTATAGAATGAGGTTATTTTCCTTTCGTGCCATGGCATCAAGGATTTCATCAGCATTAATATCGACTTTTTTATGGAGTGCTAATAATGTTAATCCATTAAGTCGGTTCTATAAATTAAATAAAATTAAGTCAAATAATGTCATAAAATTTATCATTTTACCTCTTACTTCATTCATTGTATTTCTTAGATAAATTTAAGTCTTTTCATGAATGAGAATGTTCATTTAGGAGTTGATGTAGCCACTGGTATAGTGCATTATATTTATAAAAAAACTACAAATATTGGGGAAAATAAATTCACTACATAAACGCAAAGCATCTAAAGCTGTTTTGGAAAATGTATTATTTAATTTAAGTTTTGACTGCCATATTTGCAAATCAGTAGTAATAATTTGGACATCGATGTCCAGATAAAATTTAACAAGTTTTTCGAATGGTTTATATTAAATATCATAAGAAAATAAACATTGAAAACCTAAACGAACAACATATATTAAGACAAATTTTACTTCCATAAATATCTATTTTAATTTTAAAATATACTTAAAATGATTAACGATTAAACGATTTATGAGTCAAAAATTATTTATCAATTACCACTAAAATACTAAATATCAGTTATTCTAAAACAAAAAAAGTAATAAAACAATACGCCATTAACTACCCATTATTTAGCACTAAAAAAAAAAAAAAAAGGCTATATGGAGGATATATCTCCCCCTGTGAATATGTACATGGTTCACCCACCTATAATTATTTAAATAAATAAATTTATATACTAAAATTATTGAATAGAACAAGTTATTTCAGTTGTTAGTTCATCGTGGGACATTCTGTATATGTCTGATTTAAGACTGATAGCACTTAAAAATCAACAAAAAAGTTTTTAAAAAATAATAAAAATTACTTAACCTACTTTTTTTTTAAACAAATACTGATCAAAAATAAGTAATTTCAAATATTATGCAAACTCGTGAATCATTTTTTGAACTATACCCTTGGGATTTTTATAACTCAGGGGCACATCAGGATGTGACAAGTAAACAAAAATATACTACTATGATTTGGATAATATAATACTAAACTGAAATTATTTGAAAATCTTAGTGGTATAAAAATCTGGGATTTCGTCAGTGGTTTACATAATTATAAAGTAATAATAAAAAACATTTTATATTTTTCAAAGCATTTTTTTATTTTAGTAAACTATAGAATAAGCAAAAAAAGTCTTTCAAATTCCATAATTGAACTCTAACACGACATACAATTTTTAATGGCTGCTAGATTTAATGTCAAGCCAAAAAAATAATAAGAAAATTGTATAAGTTTCCAAACCCTGATTGTGACTATTATCATTGAAAACTGTATTAGTTTAGTTACATGTGAACTTAAAGAAAATATATAATATACTCTTTATTTATGAATTTTTGTTTAGAGTATGAAAGAAGAAAAAACAACAAGTCTTCAAATAATAGATTCAATTAATAACAAAAAACCTAAATTTAATTTAGAAAAAGCTGCAAATAAAGCTATTCATGCTGAAGAAGTCCAGTAAGTTCAATATTAGTAAAGAATAATTATTAAAACTACTTTTTATATAATATATTTTTGTCTATGTTATTAGGAGATTTAGAGAGAAAAAAGAAGGAGGTGATAAAAAGAAAGGAGGAGGGCGTTCACGTAGCAAGGGATCATTTAAAAGACCTACTGCAAATACTGGCAAGCGTTTAGGAAAACAAAAGGGTGGTCGTAAACGTAGATAATTTCTTAAGTATATTTTATTTTTGTTAATGTTAAAAGTAATCAATAAAATAAAATTTGAATATTGGTTAACAACTTATTTTTCATTTTGAATTGAATACATTAACATGGAATTAGTATTTATAAATAATTTAATTATATACAGCATCTAAGAAAGAATTCTGTATTCCGAAAAATAATATATTACATGCAAGAGGGTATTTTCATATTTTGCTTTTCTTCAAATACCAAAAATATAATTTCCATTATAAAACTAATGTTGTTACTAATAAATTCTAATATTTTGTGTTGTAATTGAGCTCTAAGTAACATTTGTTGACTTTTTAATTAATTTGAACAAGTTCTTCTTTGGATAAAAAAATTGCACCTTTATGAAAATATGGAACAAGGAAAAGTAAATACATTCACCATGTGACACTTTTTGTGATGTAGAAAGAAATTGAAGAGTTAGCAAGCAACAATTCTAAACAGAGTTTGATTATACATGTTTTGAAAGGCTGTGAAAAAATTACCACTTTATTGTACCACCCCAGTCACATTTTGTTTCAGAATAGGTGCTACACTTCAAAATTAGCAAAATTTCTGGTAGAAAAGTTGTTCACAAAAAAACCATCATTATAAAACCAATTCTTGTTCCACTCAGAATCTAAAATTGAAAAATGTTGACTATATTTCTTTGGCAAAAACTAATTTTTGAACTTCAGTTATAAATTTTAATTTAGAAAAAATTTAATTGTTTAACCACCATATAATTATATATGTTACGGTAAAAGTAAAATTGATTAATGTTATATTTATACTATTTTGTATATGAAAACCAATTGTATGCTGTTAGTTCAAGCATTAGGGTGTATTTATCTATCATTAAACTTAAAGATAAGAACATTGTCTATATTTGTAGGTTAGTTTTTTTCTTCAAAATTTTAATTTACAATCAAGTTAAAAATATGTAAAATATTACAATTTTAAAATTATTTTATCTTTCATTAAAATTAAAATTTTGATTAAAAAAATAAACCAATGTATAAACACAAACAATATTCTCACCTTTGAGTTTGATAATAGGCCAAATATATTCTAATATTTAATTTAATGGCACAAAATAGGTTAATATGTAAACAAAATTAACATATTTCACAATATATAAGACACACTTTAATGGATCAAATAATCTAAAAACTATGAAATTAGTGTTTTACCTATTTATAATGTCGTAACTTTTTGGAAAGAAATAATATTGTTTTATAACTTGCTCCAATCGGAAAATAACAAGAGACCTTTATATTGAATTTTGGATCTAGTGAGTAGAGAGTAAAGTTGTAGCTCTGTTTTCTTGGGCAAAAGTAAGATGCTCTCTTGATATTTTGGCGACCCGTTTTATTGTTGTTTATCCATTTTACATGATCTAAGGGTTCATGCCAGTTCTTATTTGAATTGTAAAATCACATCCCTAAATCAATTAATACAATTCAAATCTTAGTATCTTACAAACATCATTTAAGCTATACTTTTTTTCTTTTATCTCTAATATTAAAATTACAAATAACTTTCAATTAATAATAATAATAATAATAATTAGAAAAAAAAAACTAAGATCAAATATTTGCTTTTGTCACTTTATCCCGGTAGACTTCATCAATTCTTTATTTCTTAAAAACGTCTCTCCTTTATCGATATATTCTCCAATTCTTTAGTTTTTTCCCCATTATATCGTTGTTTCGTCTTGTCCTCGTGCGTTACACATCCTCTCTTTCACTTTTCCTAAAATTAACACTATTTAACCGATGCCATATGAAAATATGTTTATTGGTGTGTCAACATAAACTACCACGTAAAATGTATTGTGTGACTGCCGCCAATCACGTTTTAGGGTATACAAGTTAAACAACAAGCCTACAACAGGTCTATTTGCACACAGCAGTGACGTGACAGTGCCGTGACCGTTCCGGGATTCCCCCGGCGAAATTTATAATATTCTTAAAGGAGAGATAAGCTTGTTGTTCTCATTCGCCCGGCGTGTGTGACCGTACCGACGCAAACAGTGTCGTCGCCGTTATCGTGCCGTTTATTCGTGAATCTCTTGCCGACGATATTTTTCATATTCCGCGGCCGTGATTTTTGTCGTATGCCGTTTTCTCACTCAGTTTTTGAAATTAACGACGGAAATCTTATTGAATTTGTGCGGAAGTATCCCGTATTATATGATTTATCACAGGCAAAATACACGGACACAGATTACAAAAACGCTGTTTGGAGTGAAATAGCAGAAGAAATGGTAAGAAACCGGTAAGAAATATATTATTATTTATATCATAACATATGTACATCGCGTTTAAATACATCAAACACATTATAATTATTATTTTTAAATCGTCCGTTTATTTCATTTAATATTTTCTTAAATGTAAGTATTTTATATCCAAGAGATCCAACCTCAGAATAAAAGTATTCAGTTTAATTCCATTCAACGGGTACGACACGGTCACGTCACTGCTGTGTGTAAACAGACCTTAATGCCTTATGATAACCGGCACGATTAAAGATACAGTTGTAATACCTGAATGAACAATGTATCTGTCTGTTAGAACAAAAATACTTTTGTTAGTGTTTAAAACCGATTACAAAATATTATAATTTAAAACCTACCTTTTTTAAGAAAAATCATTAACAGAGGTATCTGCTGTTTGACTGTTAGTAATTTAAATTTCAAATTTTCTGTAGAATCGCATCAAAGTTCTTATTAGGATACATAAGGTTATTTCATTTATATCTCTTAGCAACGATAAACCATTGCTTGACGAAAGACGATTCCGAGCGCAATTCGGTAATATTTAGTTTGAAGTGCCGTATTTGTTTTTGCGATTTTCGTTTAAATTTCATTTCAAAACGCTTATTAAAAAAAAAAAGTCTGAAGATTTTGAAAATTTTATCACGTTTAGGTAAGTCCAATATAACTATTATTACCAAGTTTCAAGCATCTACGTGTATTTATAACCGAATTACAGCCAAAAAAACTCCCGAAAATTAAAATTCCTTAAAAGCTCAAAAGTTTTGGCGGTGATACCGTCAGAAAGTAAATCAAAAAGGCAACAAAAAGAATGTCTTGTGATTTTTCGATTAAATCATTTTTCTGGTAGAAACCGTCGTGTTTTTTATAAAACTATGGAATCGCGAAATTGTACGTTTTCTCGCGTTTTTTTTTCCCACTTAAATGCTTTTATTTGAAAAATGACGTCGAAAATCAAAAAATGACCTCTCTCTAAAGTACTATCTGGACAACTTGAGATTTCAGAACAATTGCACAAAACACGTATACGTCGGAGCAAGTTTACTGGGAAAAAACGTGTTCACAGACTAGAAAAAAAAAAAAAAGAAATAAACATCCTAGTAAAACCAATAGTTCGCTACTTGGAATCTAAAATATATGTTCAACGGAACTTCGTCCATAATCTTATTTCGTTAGCAGTGATTTGTTTTCGCAGACGGATATAAATTAAATAAATTATATATATACAGCCTTCTTCCTTCCCACTTACGACAGTGGCACGCCCGTCCCGTAACGGCCAGTTTCTATTTCTAACTAGTTTATATTAGGTTTTCACAAAAAAAAAACAAAAATAATAACTTTTATAATTTATCTTTGATTCGTTTTACTAATTACCGTCCAGCTCCGGCTATTAAGCAAGTTGAAATATCTGCCGTATTCGGGCGCCTTGCCCCCCCCCCCCATCCGGTTATCCCCGTTTCTGTCCCGGACACTAATATTCTGTTCTATACGAGATCGGTGTATTACGCATCAGTGTAATGTTATACGCGCCCCGCGGCAACGGGGTTTTGGGGTGGGACCGTTTTACCGTTTCTTTGGGGTGCGCGCGTGTGTGTCCGCGTGCCGGGACCGCCGCGGCGTTTTACGAACTATGCGGAGTGCGTATCCCGCGTCATCTCTTTCGAAAGTCGTTTTTACGTGCTCAAAAGTCCGGAGGGACCGAGCGCGCGCCCGTGTCATTGTCGTCGTCGGACGGCGCGGCGAGTCACCCTATCACGAGGGAGAAATAGCATTATGGTATATATAAAAAAAAAATAAAAAAATAAATAAATAAATAATCGCGTATTTTTGTGCACATCGTAAACGGACAAAGGGGAGTTTTTAATACGATTCTCCGCTAACCGAAGTAGTGGATCGCCGTTCGCGTCAGTCACCTATCGGTAGGGTACTACTCCGCCGGTTCTCAGCACCGCTGCCCATTCGTCTTCCGGCGGTCGTTGCCGCGGACGAACGACAAACGCTCACTCTAGTACCGTTACGGGGACCGACTACCGAGTGGCTCGCACGTGTCGGCCGAAATATTCCGCCGTGCCTGTGCGCTCGCGAGCGTGACGCGCATGCGCTTTAGCGTTCCACGTGCGTCCGACGGTACGGTGGTTCCGGCCGCGTGACAATAACATTATTGACCTTTGTACCGCCGCTATTGCGCTAGCGTGTTTTTCACTTCTGCCGCTCGCCGCGTAGCAATGCCCTACCGGTTCGCGCCGTACAACAACATTACGCCGTTGCAGTTTTGAAAGCGTGCGCGCCACCGCCGTAGCACACGTGTGCACGCGGCCTACGGTACGAGACGTATCCGCGGTGACGGTCGCGTCGCCGACGAGCCACTGCCGCGGAACTGCAGTGTAGTGATACGTCGCCGCGCGCGCGCACACGTACCGCCGCCGTTAGTCGCCGTGGCTCTCCGATCGGTCTTTGAACGTATCCGCCGCCATTGACCACGCGAATCGCGTCGCCCGCCGCCCGTCATCGCCTCACAGTCGCTGCTGCTGCCGCCGCCGCCGCCGTCGTCTCGGACGCTTCAGTCATCGCCGCGTTATGCAATTGTGCGGACCGGTCGGCGATTGTCCATACCTCTTCCCCTTTCTTCGCCGGTTCCGTCAGCGGGTAAACGTCTTGTTTTCACACATCACCCCTCATCGTCGATATATTTATATATATATATATTACCTAAGTACTTTTTTTTCTATTATTATTTTTTAGATAGTTTTCGATTGTTTGTTCCGTAGCATTTCGACAGTGTTAATTGATCACGCGCTTTGTACACCGTCTATTTGTATCATCGCTACAGTTATTATTGTCCGCGTTTAATCGTCACTCGATGATACAAAAAATACATATTATAACATCACAGTATATTTGGTGATCGCAAAAT